CTCCTGAACAGCCTATATCCACCCATAGTGATGGGTGATCCCACTCACATTGATGAGTGATCCCACTCATCAATAGTTACTGTTAAAGGAACATCTAATATTATAGTCATTTTTTCTGGAGAAACAGCGACAGCACCATTTCCAGTTCACATTAATATAGTGAAGACCTGTTCAACTGATCTCTTCTGCTTCTTTATTTTTGTGTGTAGATTCTTTGTTAATGTTTTATCACTCAAAACCCAGTAGCATCTGTAAAGTCATGACATTTTTAGATTTCACAGGCAGTAGTCCATAAATTTCTTAAATGTTTGTGGGGAAAAAAACAAGACGGCTTTCTTGTTACCTTTCCTTAAATGCCTCTCTGGTTGGCTTCAGCAAGTGAAGTGTATAATACAGGCCTATAAATATAGGACTATAAATACATACTCCTCGAAAGTTCTAAGCCTGAGAACATCAAGCAGCAGGAGCCTTTTTATGTGGCTTCATGCAGTGCATTTAGTTCATTTACTCCTTACATGGTTTGGCTTAGGTATATGTGTAGTCCTGTAGTGCTGTCTCCCTGCCTGGTTTCCTGACAAATCTAGTTTTGCAGCCTGGGTGAACAGATCCTGAAAACACAGTCACATCTGGAATCAAAACACTAACTGTGGGGGAACTAAAAATTAGTTGGTTTTGCAGTGTTTAGCTATATGTAGTATTTGGTATTACCTTTGGCAAATATTCTTATTTGAATGCTCACTGAGTCAATATTAAGTCAAGATTTTAAAGAATCTGAAAATACCAAATTGTTTCTCACTAAAATACTGTGGGCCAGGCTGATTTCAGGTAGCTGTGTCTTGTAGCTTCCTGGCAAATGTTTCGGTTAATTCTATCACATTTACATTCCGTAGAAACCTTTTATTCCTCAAAAATTTACAGTTGATCTCTACTGGAGAAAGATATTTTTAGCAGCTGTATTTGAAAACTAGGCTTTTAACCAGACTGAGTTCCCTAGTAGACATCAATAAATACAAAATTGCTTGCAATAGAGTACTGTAGCTGGCTTTTAGTGATAGATTTGCTATAGTGTTGCTCAGACTTAAAAGATTATCTCAGATAGCTTTTAAATTGCATATGTAGCATTGCCAGATAATATCCCTCTATCGTGACGCTTGGTGAGAGCATGTTTTGCCCCCTTTCATGATACGAGGCTTGATCCTGTGTGATGGAAAGGGCCTTGGCTGGGTGTAGCAAGGAGCTTATGCACATGAATGAGCTAGAATTGCGTATTTGAGCCAGACAGACCCATGAATGAGCTAGACTTACTGACCTTGCTGTTAGTTTTAAGCAGGTGCCCAACTGCTGAAATGGGAAGAGAACGCCCAGCATATCTTAGACACAAATGCTGGCCAGTAACATGGGTAGAGGAAGGGTAGCACAGCCCTCAGAAAATGGTAACTTTTTCTCCTTCTTTTACTTCCAGGTCCTACTTAGACATGTATAAGGTGATAATATTTAGTTACCTCTTCTGGTTTGTGCTTACTATAATCTTCATAACGGGAACCACGAGGATCAGCATATTCTGCATGGGCTACTTGGTAGCCTGCTTTTATTTCCTTCTCTTTGGTGGAGATCTGTTGCTGAAGCCCATCAGGAGCATTTTGCGTTACTGGGACTGGCTGATTGCCTACAATGTCTTTGTGATCACCATGAAGAACATCCTCTCGGTAAGTAACTGCTGCCTTTCCTCTGTCCTCAGCACTTTGATTTCATTGGATGTGTGCATAGTGCACTGAGTGGTCATTAAAAATCCTTTTTTAGGAGCACAGCCTTCTGCAAGCACAAAACAGGCTCCATTTTAATTCAGAAACTACAACTACGTGTTCAGGGAATGGTAATTCTAACATTATAGAAACTATACACCCTTGTATTCAGTCAGGCTCTGTGAAAGTTCACAAGCTGTTTTCAAAGGGCCAGGTTCTGATTCCTTTGCCTAGTTAAGTCTCTCCTTAGAAGTCTTCTGAAAATCTCAGTGGAGTGAGAAATGAGTAAGTGCATACCATCAATAAATAGTGCATACTTAATTAAACCTTTTATTTAAAACTAGAATTTTCAAGCCTAGTACTAGATGCAATTGTGTGATGTAATGTATTGCAATTAGTGAAGTTGACTACAAAATTGCAAACTGCACTCCTGTTTCCTTTAGAGCTGGTGTGAAATTCAGGCTAAAACTGATATCTTTGAAAATAAAATGTCAAATTCTTCTGCAGAATATTAAAGGCTTTCTTACATTAGTTAACTCTTTAGAGCAGATTCTTGTAGTGGCACTGATAGGTGATTGAGACAAGCCAGTAATATAAGTATTTTTGAAAGATAAATTTAGATTTATTCCTGGCAATTGCTTTTTAACTTTGAACAGTTTTAGTGCTGGACTGAAAAGAGCAGGCATTTTTCTTTTTACATTTATATAAGTCACTGTACTGAAATAAAATTGATTTATGAGTGGTTTGAATTTGCAAATGTTCTAAATGCTTACATATGTGCTCCATTTTATGCTTGGGGATTCAGTGGAGCTCCACGTGTGTTAACCTTGTCCATGTGTGTTTGCAAGATTAAGTCAGTGATTTATAAAAGTTGCTTAGCTGTCGCACTGCATGACATGCCGAACATATTATCACTTTCTCTACAAAAACACAAACAAATTCCACATACCTCCTATCTCACTGATAATTGAAAGAACAGTCCGTTGGTATTTAACTGTGATATGTGTCACTGGTATACACAGTCTCTCTTCTTCTCAGGAGATATAGCACAACCAATGGCAGTCACAATATTCTCATGTGATGTTAAGAGGTGCAATACTTTTCTTATTTTTATTTCTATGTTTTGTTATATGAAACTTTTATTTTACAGATAGGAGCATGTGGCTACATTGAATCATTAATTCAGAATAGTTGCTGGTTGATTCAGGCATTTAGCCTGGCTTGTACAGTTAAAGGCTACCGTATTCGTGAGTATAGCTCATTTTTCTTCATAATTTTCTGTAAATAAAGAATCACCTTCAAAATCTTCTACCATATTTCAGTTGTGTCCCCTCCTGACATATTGCCTTGTGAAAATATCATACCTGCAAGTTCAGTTGATACAGGTTGGTCCTGTATTGACTAACAAGAAAGAACATTGAAAATATTTCATACAACCAAAGGAGTTACATATACTGAGAGAACTACCAATACCCCCACACATACTCACACCCAGCATTAGCTGTAAATTAATAATCTGGTGATGCCAGCACTTAACACGGTTTCCCTATATATGCAAATGATGTGATACTTGAGGGTATGGTTTCACTGTGCAGCTTGAGCTAAAATGTCAGCTCACCATCACTGCAAGGAGAGGGCACCTCTTCCCAGCTGCAGACTCTCACAAACCCCTTTGTGCCAGATCCTATGTTCAGTTGCTCCGAGGGTATAAACCAGTTCAGGTCACTGAAATGGCAAAAGGCTAAGACAGTATAAAAGTGAAAGTTTTTTGCAGGCATAGTTAGTTTAGGCACTTTTTAAAAATTATTATTATCATGTTTGTGGTGATAACAAGGAGAGAGTTGATAGTGTATGTGGAATGAAGTATGGAGACCAAGATACTTCATCTCTCAATGACCTATTAATTTGGCTCCACTTTGTCCTGATATCCTGGATTGACAGCTTGAAAACACCTGCTTTTTTTCAGTGTTTTTCTCTGGATTTAAAAAACGGTTTCATCCTAGTGAGTCTGCAGCAAAGTTCTGAACTGTCTTCATGTCTGATCCTAATAGATAAGTGGGTAGTAGGGGAAAAGAAAGGAAATACAAAGATGCAAATTCACAAAATAAATGGTGTCCAGTAGTTCTTGTATTACCCAGAACTTTTTGAGCAGCAACAGAAGCTTAGACCCAGGTTTCTGACTCCCCAGGGAATGGGCACAGCAGACTTTGAAGCTCTTGGAGTTTGACCTTCCAGACCTGTTAGACTGGCTTACTTCATTGTAAAGCCAACTTCGAGCTACAGTCTGTCCCTTGAGTCCTCCTGCTCCCTTCTGTAGGGCAGCATAGGCCATTTAATTTATAGTCTAGCTCCACAAAACCCGGTTTTAATTTTTTAATATCCCCAAGGGAACTGTCTTTTAGAGGATAAAGAATGAAAGAAAGGAAGAAACAGCTCAAGCCAAAATCCAGAGGCAGAAGGAATGGGATTTCCTCTCTGCCTGTCTCTTTCTACCCCAAAGGACGCAGTTTTGTGGTTTCAAATATTTTTTCTCATATGCAATGGAAAGAAACATTGAACTGAGTTATGTAGAGGAAAAATAAAAATATTAGGTAGTGGCAGTCAAAAAATTATTTTGACAAAAATAAAACACTTCTTTCTCATGTTGCTAGTGTTCTTAATAAAAAAATGAGACAAAAAATCACTTTGAAATAAAAAAACAAACATGCCATTTTAGAAAATACTGAAATTTTATATATCTGGCTAACCAAAAATACTTTTCCCATTGTTTGTTTTTAAGTACTTATTATGATAAGGTGAATTTGTTTCCAAATAGTTCACTTTTGATGAATTCTTAATTTTCATGGGATATCACATTGTTGGAAGCTTTCCAGTTTGCTGTAAAAGAAAATACATTTACTTCAAATGGAAATGCATGTCAGTTTTCTTAAGAAAAAAATAATTAAATTACCTCAATTCAAATAACTTTAAAGGCTAAGATTGTTTAATTGAGTAATCATTATAAAAGAATATTTTATACAGCAGTCTTTATGCTGATGGTGTCTTGCTTTCCAGCAACCAACAATCTAGATTGTAAGCTGCCTAGTGGAGAAGCAGGAATCATTTGGGACAGTATATGTTTTGCTTTCCTGCTGCTGCAAAGAAGAGTCTTCATGAGTTACTACTTCCTGCATGTGGTTGCAGATATAAAAGCTTCTCAGATCCTAGCATCAAGGTAACATGAAGTTTTAAAAAAATAAATGAAACAGGTCAAGTTTTTCATGGCTGCGGCACTTACTTATTTATGATATGCAGTTCTTTAAGATTGGTTCGAATGGTCCATGCTAAATTCATTATTGCAAACTGAACTCTGACAAAGCACACATGAGAAAACAAATTAATTGAGAATCTGATAGAAGTTAAACTATCTGTCCTACAAAACACCATCTACTGCTCTCATAGCCCTCGTTAAAAGCTGTGAAAGTTGATGTGTTTTGCAGCATTCTCTCAATATCAATGTTTCCTCTCCTTTTTTCCTTTCTTCTGCCCCCATTTCTACTGTAGGGGTGCTGAGCTTTTCCAGGCTACAATTGTCAAGGCTGTAAAGGCAAGAATTGAAGAGGAAAAAAAATCAATGGATCAACTGAAAAGACAGTATGTATTTTATGTATTTATATATATATATACACACACACATAAATATACAACTATTTCATCGATTCCAATATTTGGTATTTATCTAGCACCTTCTTTTATAGAAATGCTGATTATGTTTTGAGGTATGATTTTACAATTACAAAATTGCTCTCTGGGCATTCAGAGATCTTAGATGTACCAGAGTGATGTAGGTTTAGAGTCATCTTTTCCATAAAGACAACATACTGCAGAATGTAAACTTTTATTTAAACATAGAATTGCATTTCTAAGACCAAAGGTTGTGAAGTTGACATAAAGAATCAGAGTGGAATGTACTGACTTACCTGCTCCTCAGTGAGCCTGAAACTGTAATGAAACAGATGTTTCCTATAAATCAAGAGATAATTATTCCTGCTTATTCTGAAGGTTCTTCTAAACCTTAGAAATCCAATGATGGGAGGTTAAGAAGATCAGCTTTTAACTTTTCCACACCTGAGTATCAGAGCAACATGATCATATAGTCTTCTTTTTAAGAGATGATCTGTCTGTGCTATATATTTTCTCTGTTAGAGGACCAGTTCAATTGCAGTTTTGGGTTATCCTATTTTGTGTAATATGAATGCATGCAATGCAGATGAAATATGGGGTGAAAATTCTGTATTTTTTCCTCTTTCTTTCCTTCCACTGTTTATCCTACTGTTCTCTCAATTTGTCTCTCCCCATCTCTAAGGACAGTCAAATGCAAATCCCCTATGAAACTCATGAAAAGGGTAGGCAGATTACTAATCAGAAGTGTGACATGAACCCTGTCTCGCTTGAAAGTGCAAGTCTAGATAGTTAGAAAATAGGAGTCTAAGACACAGGAACTGGGTTAAAAACAAAACCACAAAACCAACAATCAAAAATAAGCAAACAAAACTTGGAAAAGAGAGGGGCCTAGTTAGAGAAGCTGTGGTTAAGAGCCACCTAAATAGCCTGAAATCACTAGGCTAAGGAAGCTGAGTAACATCCTGTCCCTGCTGCAATGGATGACAATATTCTCATCGACTTTACCATTATTAGGATTTTGTTCTGTTTATTTGTATTCTGGGTAAAATTTGATGGATGCCTGTTGCTTCCACTTCATTTGTGGTTCCTCCTCTGGAGTTTGAGAGCAAACTGAAAATATTTGCATTCAGCTTAACTGGCCTGGAGATCCTTTCTCTTGATAGAGCCAATAAGCCACTCTGCTCTCTGTTGGGTGCAGCCAGCATGCTTCTTTAATAACTGCAGAAAGCTTTCAAAGCTCCTCCACTACCATGCATGAAAAGCTGTAACTGCTGTCTAACCAGATCTCAAATCCCGCTCCTGACAGCTTCTTCCATGCTTGCATAACTGAAGAAGCACCAGAAGGCTACAGGGACTGTGCTCCGTACCTGCATGCCTGGGGGTTCCCATCGGATGATGTATGTGGCTGTTACTGGCTCTGCCCTGTGCTTGAATCAGTCTTATCCCAATTGACAGTATGTGCCTGTTCTGGAAATAATTATTTTCTGTTAATTCTGCAGAGGTTAAGAACAAGATGATACTGCTTGCAGTAATGCCAAAGCTAATCTGTATTTCTCTAAAAATTACTAGTATATATTTGCAGGATGTCTGACTTCAACAGTAGAGGGTGTTCGTTTTATTTCATTCAATAATGTGTGTCAGTACTCCATACATTTTAGGCTGGTTAGGATGAATAGAACCATCAGCACGGCCAGAAGTTGTGCTGACTTAACCAAGTTGTCCTGACTGACCTAGCATTAACTTCAGCAACAGATGAATGACAGGGAAAGAAATCGAATTGTCTACAGAATAATAGCGAGTAGCTGAGATGAAAGAGTTTTGCCCTCTGTAGCAGGTGCTTCTTCCCTAACAAATGGACAGATTAATAAAAGTATATAAGTGCATTTTTGTCACTGAAATTAGTGAATCATTTGCTTTTAATCCAGTTATATTGAAAGAACTTATTTGTATTGATTTAATTTTTCTTTACTACCATTTTTCAAACTGTGAAAACGTAGAAGTCTTAGAAGACTAGATTGTTCTAATTTTACAGGATTGCAGGAAGGAGAATTGAAGGCTTGCCTACATCTGGACAAAACTGAACCAGTTTAAGTCTTCTGTGTTTCCAGATCTGTGGGACAAATGAGATCTTAAGGGATTAAGATATAGCTCAAATAGTGCAGGAGCAACCACATCCCTGGTTTAGAGTGGCAAGTTTCAGGAAAACCACTGCATCAGGCAGAAGTCCTTTTTTATTAGAGCATTGTTTGCTGTGTTGTAGCTTCTGACAGCAAATCTTTAATTTTTCAATAACAAGATAGTTGAGGGGAAGTAGGTAAAGCAGTCATGTGGTATCAGGCAACCCAGCTCTCACCGACCAGTGAGTGGACATCTAGGCTTGACTCTTCCAGCCAGATCCTTCAGAGCCATTTAACCCTGTATGTGTAAGAACAGGTTTAATAACTGTGTGGAATGGATATTTCCTTTAGAAATGTTGCTGGGATATGTGTATGCATGGATGTGTTTAACACCTGTTTTTCCTGGTGGGTCAAAAAGGGTGAAGACATGAATCTAATAAGATTCTTCCTTTTGCTAGAATGGATCGCATCAAAGCCAGGCAGCAAAAATACAAAAAGGGTAAAGAGAGGATGCTAAGCATGACCCAGGAGTCCTCAGAGGGGCCAGAGATGCAGAAGGTTTCTGAAGAAGATGATGAAGGTACCATTAGCTATTGTTGTGCTGTAATTGCAGTTGAGCACTATGGACCTAATAGACCTAATAGTTGGACAAGTGATAAATTATTCTTCAAAACTGTCAGCATGTAGCAAATTTGTTAGCTGAGTATCAGTTTGGAGCTTGATTTAGCCAAAAAAATCCAGGATTTTGTACTGCAAGAAGGTTTATAGAAAATGGTTTACTTTGAGGTTACTTTTAGTTGACTTCAGGCTGTTGGCAAAGAGTTGAATAGCAGCAAAGGTTTGCTTTGAATGCAGTCATTATCTACAAACCACAGTGTTACAAATAGGTAGCATCCACATTTTTTCAGCAATGTTTTCTGGATTCTCTGAGGTTTTTTTCAGTCACTGAAATGTTTGTATACTTTTAAATGTTGTTTAAAATGTGGGAACAGATAAAATGATACCTATCTAGTGCCACATTTCTAATGTTGACTTGGGATCAGCATTTACTGGTTTTAAAATTATTGGAGTCTGAAATGTAAGGGGATGTGAGAGGAGGGAAAATATTACTGTCAACTGTGACTGTATGTTTTAAAACACAAAACTGAACTTTTTAGCTATTTTAGAGTAGAATGCTGTTTTAACTGCTGCATAAACCAGAGTATTTCTGCTTAGTGGTCATGTTTCTGAATGATTTTAATATTGAATGTATTCAGTAGATCTGACATCTGGTGTGCTCATGAAATTTTAGCTCTTTTGAGAGAAATTAAAAATTATTAATCAGTATAAGAAACATGTTTCTCATTTTGTAAAATTAATATTTGGACATATTTTATTTTAGGAGAAGCAGACAAAGAGAAAGCCAAGGGCAAAAAAAAGCTGTGGTGGCGGCCTTGGGTTGATCATGCTTCCAGTAGGTTTTCTCAATCATCTTACAAATACGTGGATTTAACCCTTATATCCTTGACCAGAATGAAGGCGTTTCCATGATCTGTTTGTTTTGTGCCTGATTTTATGATTGTGACTTGATAGAAGGCTTGTTTTTTTCAACAAATGATTTCTAATTCCAAATCTTCAAGGACTGAGTTTAACCATATTTTGAACTTCTCTTTGTTGGAGGCATAGCTAGCTCATTATATTGTGGGCATTCTTAGGGAAAAAAAAAATCAAATCAGCTAAACGTGTGCCAAAAAAAGTCTATTTTGGCCTCAAAAGTCTTAGCTCTCCCCTACTGCAAGCACAATATATTTAAAAATGTGAAGGTGAAGATTTGCCAATGCGCTCTAAGATTAGTCATAATTTCTTTTCTGCATATATATATATATATATATATATGTCATATAAAATTTTTTAATGGGTTATCAGTCGTTCTACTGTCATCTGTAGAAATCTGAGTACCACACCAAGTAAGGCAGCAAGACAATTGCAAGGACTAGGCTGTGTATTGCTCAGCTGAATATCTCTGATCATACTTTAATGTACTGTTGATACTGGTTGTTTTGTTATTTCCATTTTTTTGTGTTTGTCTGAGAACAAAAATACGTTCAGGCTTGTGCACAAGAAATGACTCGCCTGGTTCACTCGTATTATTGTTGCATTATGATGTTTTCATTTGTTTGTTGCCCAGTCCAGGCATATGAAAGAGTTTTTCCCTAGATTATGGATTCAGTAAAACAAGAGAACTGAGTACAGTGTAATCTCAAATCAGATATCCTTCTATTGGATCTTTGTTGGAGGAAATCAGACATGAGCTCTTTAATTACTTCTGGAGATTTTAAAAAAATCAAGGGTATAGCACTGATCAGAGTTAAATATGAACATCTACATTATGCCTGCTCATGCAGTTTAAAAGAGTTACTCCAAGTAATACTTTTACACATCTTCATACTGCTTCATTTTACCTCGGTGCATTTATTTATAACTCCACTGTGTGTATTTGCCAACAGTATTTTACAGAATGTTGTATGCTTATTTCTATCAAGTCACAAGTAAACTGTGCCTCGATTTTTATTTTTCTAAAGGGCACACTGCCACTTTAGAGAGACCTATCCCTTTTCAATAGTCTTATGAAAATAAACTTCTTGCCCTGTAGTTTCATTAAGAACAACGATGACAAAACAGATCAAAACTGTAATTTGTGAGTTTTAACTGTAGAATTTCAAGCTATGGTGATTTTAAAGGAATGGGATATGGTCTTTTGTTTACTCACCACTGGTTTTTTAATAAGAAGAACTGCTCAAAGAGAGGCATTGACTTTGGCTTTTACTTATTTCACCCTCATTATTTAATGTTCTTAGGTGGCAACTTGTGTTTTGGTATTTAAACAGTAAGCATTCTTGAAATTATTTACTGCAATAATGCAAAGCCTTGTGGGAAACATCATAGTCCCTGATGAGGCAAACAGTGGTTGCCAGCCACGTGGCTTGCGTCCACACTCATTGAAATGTGGCACTGACAGTAGGTGTTCACAGGCATACAAACTGGAAACAGACTGATATTCCCCATCCATCCTTTTTGAAACACTGCCATAACTGCAGCATTCTGCTGCACGTGGCTTTTCATCTCAGTAAGTGGGTTTGTGGCTGTGGCTCTATATGTGTATATATTGAAGTCGCTCAAGCTTGAAGTTTTATGCCAATTCTGATGGATAATTTAGATTTTTATTATTTTTATACAACTTGTTATAATTTTATTATACAGAAAGATAGCTCATTTTATGTATCATATGAATTAAAACACAGTCATGAATTTGGACCTGAGTAGAACAGACAGGAAACATCAGTGAGGGTTTGCTCATTGACACTTGCTCACACTCTCCCTTGCAGGGAGGTGCAGTTCCTCCTGTCCTTGTGGATTACTTATGGAGCCCAACAAAGATCAGCAGAGTTAGGGCCACATGCTTCAAGGTCCTCAGGTTCTCCTGGGGCACAGAGTTGTGTCTACTGTACTGCAAAAGGTGTTGCTCGCAGCTGTCCTGGGGAGGTCTTTCCCTCTGGGCACAAGCAGATGATGAGATCATGCTGACTTCTCCTGCATGGCTCCCCATCTGCCTCTTCCTTCTTATCCACAAGGAAAGCCTGCAAGTCCCTTTTCTTTGTAGGAGAAAGTCACATTTTGCAGTAGGAGAAGGGTCTCCTAAGTCCAGTCTGGCCATGAATTATCTTGCTAGTAAAATCTGGTCTCTTTAGTAATCCCTGCAGGTGACTAACACACTTCTTAATCCATTTTGATGTGTGCAAGAATGCATTATTGCTATTCAATCATACCTCCCTCTTTAGCTGTAAAAGAGGCATAACTGCTATGTTATAGTGTCCCCTCAGACACACTTTAACCTAAAAATTTTGGAGGGAGATCATTATAGATTTGTTTTCTGCCAGCTCAGGCATTTCAAGTCTGACTGGGTGCTACTCTGAGGTTTCCCCTAGATGTCAGACCTTATCCTGCTGATCTTCTGTGTGTACAATTTCTGTTGCTAACAAGAAGATACTTCTTTTATTAAAGAGAACTGCAGACTACTGGCACTTAAAATACATTCATGTCTTTAATGTATTTTAAATGGGCATTCTTAGAAGGCCCTGTACCAAATAATTAATTTGCTTGATCCAAGAAATTTCCAGACTATCTTTTCACCTCAGTTCAACATTAGAACTGCTGAAGTGGACTCTCTGTCCCTCTGCATGGCATTCATTGATGTTAAAAGTCATAACTGGGCACATGAGGCACAAAATTCCCTCTGTGAGGGAGTTTTAGGTGCTGAAGTTATGACCTAGTAGAGTTCTGGCAAATTTCACAGTGTGCTCACCCTGAGGTTTCTATGGTAGTTAGAGCATCTGTGTAGAATTCAAGGTATGATTGAATTAAAGCAATTGTTACTTTTTCAGAAACCTATAATGAGGGTTAAATATAATTTTCAATATAAATATGTATTGCTCTGTGTATCCAGATTGTGTGACATTTCATCTAAGTAACTGTTCCTTTAAATATTTCAGCTTAAATGTGGAAATTATTTACCAGCTTTCACTGCTGGATGTAATGCTGTGATTTTGATTTTTCTCTGGCTCATTACTTTATTTTTAATTTCTTTTGTTTCCCTTGTTCGTTCATGTAGGCCTGTTACCATCTGAGAAATAAAAACATTGCTTCTGTTCAAGGATATAAGGCCTAGCTTATTCACTCTGCATCTTTACTCTATCACGGTTTCAGAATCTTTCTGAATCCATGGGCAAAAAATTGAAACTCATTTGTGATCACATTAATAGAATCCAAGTGATTTGTTTTAAACAAACCAAGGTTTTCCCATTACCTAATTAAAGCTTAAATGTTTGAAGAAAGCATTAACCAATACCATCCCATTCCATAGTTTAAAGGATGTCTCAGTATTTTAAAGAGAAGTTCTGCATTTTTTTGTCCAGTGGTACTGTTCATTTAAATTTAGTTACTTAACTGCTGGGCTTTTTTTTACTCCCTCAAATACCAGTCAGTTCTCAATTAATTTAGACTCAAATACCATTTTTTCCTAAAAAAAAGTAACCAAGTAAGTTGATATACTTCAAGATTTTTCTTTACACTTTCTGCTCATAGTGACGTTTTCTTTGTATAGTTCTTGTATAGTTCTCATTCATGCCCAAAGTATCACAGACTAACATCAAATAAATTGCCTGAGACCTTTTAATCTCCTGCTTCTTCTCTGTTTTCACCTCTCCTGGTTATGAATTTTTAAATGACTGGCTGGCTGTTCATAGGTCTCGGGGCAGTTGAGAATAGAATTTTTCAGAAAAATAAGAAAATATTTTGTTTCACTTAGTGGTCAGAAGTGGAAATTATTATTTGTTTGAGACGGATAGTGAAGAGGAAGAGGAAGAGGAGAAAAAAGAAGAGGAGGAGCCTCGAAAAAAATCTGCATTTCAGGTACTTTATGGTAATTTGCTTTCTTGGTGACATCTGGAAAACAATGTAGGCTTCTCATAATGCAGGCACATATGTTAAAGCAGTATCTACATATAAAGTAGACCTGAAACGTATTGGAAATTAATTTCTTGCCAATTTAAAATGAAAGTTTTCCTGTTTTAAGCATTGCCAAATTCCTGCAAGAACTATAGTGAAATTATATCTTTATTCACTTATGCCTGAGGAAAACAAAAATACAAAAACAAAGGTTAAGAATCTGAGCTTTACTTTTTCTGCATTGCAATAAAGACAAGTGAACAAGCTGGCTTGCCTCTAGCACTGCTGTACAATGCTTCAGTGGTTGTCTGTTTTGGAGTAGATGTTATCATTCCATGAAGAAATTATCACCAAAATAAGTGACTTTTCATGGAAAATATATACTTTAAAAAAAATTAATTAATTATTGGTCCTAGTGGAGGACCAGAGAAATACATCCTTGGGATGGAAAGAGCTTAAATGTTAAAATTACAGAAGGAGACCGCATCACTTTCTCTCCTTTCTTTTTCAGGATGTTGTTAATTATTATGTTTGCATTTTAAGTGACAGACTGTATTGAAGTAAGAGTATATTGTAATCTTAAAAGGATAGGTGAAGTTTCCTAACTAATTTCCTAGATATAGACTGGCTGATGTTAGACAGTAGCAGGTATTGAATCCACTGGCTTAAATTAAGAATTTGGGTGAAGAAGTTAGTGAAATACTCATGCACGTGGGATTGCTTTAATGTTCATAAGATTAAACTTTGACTTGAAGAATTTTCAGAAATCCTTTTGCTTTAGTTTACGGACCTTTTTCAGGTCTGTAACTTTAAAAGCTTAAGCAAATGGGTAGCTTTTTGCAGATGAGTATTGCCATCCAGATGCATTGTTGAAAGCCCAGCCCAAGGAAGAGCAAGCAACTGCCTCCATGCTCTTCCATTCCTTACACCAATAGCTTTCAAATAAAGCTTCCCAGATGACATTACTGAATTACAAGAAGTATTTTATTTAATTCATTAATACAATGTGCCTTTAATTTATATACTTACATTACATTACCAACTGATTACATTTATTAAACTGCCTGCATGATAATGACATGGAAAGATTTTTTCCTGACCTTGAAAAAGGCAAAACAAACCTGGGTGAAAATTAATGTGCTAAGTAAGTTATATTTTCTATTATTTGCATTAATTTTCTGTATATTTTGCATTTAACCCGCCTTGGACCATAAAGATGGCTCATGAATTTCTAGGTCATTTTTCTTTCTGGTTTTCCTGCAGTTATAGAGGAAGGTTTTCATTCTTGTTTCTGCTGATTTTTTAAAAAATTGGTGACAATTTTTTGTTCAGATATGCTGGTGCTAAGCACTGAGATTTTAAACAGTTCTAAACTTGAGGTCAGAAACTAATAAGATTCTTTCATTTACTCTGGGTCCGGGTTTTTTTGTTCATTTTGTCTTATTTATTAAAGCTCAGTCCTGAAACTACTAATCTGAGGATGGAGGATGTGGTCTTTATTTCAAAATTCTGGTCAGACATTCTGTGTAGGCGGCCAGTTCTACAATATGTGCAACATGAAGATGTGGGATGGCGTTATGTAGGAGGGGAGTTGTATAGAATGGAAAAAAAATTGGTTTTGTTTATGAAAAGTTTGTTCCTCATTTGGTCATCATCCTTTATTGAGCTTCCATCACCATGCACATGGTCTTAATAAAAATACCATCAAAATGAACTTGTTTGTTGTAGAGCCTGCTAAAGAATTATTTTTAATTGTTGATTTTTCTTCTAGTGTAAATTGTGTGCAATAGTCACTCTAAGGGTTAGCTTGTTTAATAAATAGAGAATGCACACAGTTAAGAATCATTGAAATTTTATTGTGAACATCACAAATTATCTTTTTTCATATTGGACTTTATGTGAATTCATTCTTAATAATCTAGATACAATCATTTAGTAGATACTTTTTATTAATATTTTCTTGTTTTCTACTAATTGCTCTTGCTTTGTCCTTCTTTATAGAGAGCTATTGGGAAATTTGCTTCAGCCATTATAGCCTTGCCAAAGTCTGTCATTAAACTACCCAAAACTATCCTTCAGTATTTAATCAAAGCAGCAAAGGTACTTGATATTTTGTGAGTGCTCAGTGTGTGACCCATCCCATAGTTCCCGATGTAATGTATGCCTCTGTCCTTGTCTGCATTTTTCCTCTTATATGAATGATTTTTAAAAATGACAGCCAAAGCTTCATTCCTAATAAATGCAATGCATTTCATGCTTTTGGAGTGGTCAAGCCACAAGAAAGTGGTCTTTTTTCAAGTGCAACCCTGGAGAGAAAATGCAGACCCAAATTCTCATTTTCTTCTGATACTGCTATACCAGATGGTCACATCAAGTTGCGTGTATCTTATGGACACCGTGGTAGTTGATCTCAGAAAGCTGGTAAAAGGTTTGTAAAACACACATTGGGCTCTAAATCCCTTTTTAGCTCTCTACTTTTCTGGCCTTCATCATAACAAAAAAGATTTGTGCATCTTCTTTCTTGTCCCCCTTGAATACATTTAGCATTTCCTACCTTTGAGCACTATGTATCATTTTATACTCCATATATGTAACATGATATTCGTAAGGAGTGAGCATTGCAGATTGAGCGTACCAGCTCCAAAGCCTAAGAGATTTAAAAGTTTGTCCATTTAAAGTTTTTCCAGTGGTAAAAATTCTAAGGCAATACATAGGTATGCCCCCAGTCAGCTCTTAAGATATCCACTGCTTAGCATAAGTAGTTACATTAAATTTATTAACCAAATGCCTTTGCTTCATTCTAATCTTCTACCCTCTTCCAAGTCTGCCTTTTACCTCTAATTTCGTTATTGACACTATGGCTGTGGCTAGCGTACAGTTTCTCAGCTAACTGATCAGTAGCAGTTGTTGACATTTTCTAATTTTCAATAAGTAATACAGTATTAATTCACTTAAGGATCATGATTACCCCAGACCTTCATTAGAAAACACCTATTACAAAGCAACAAGAAGTCAGTGCCTCTGATCCCACATGTTTTCTCCTGTGTTGCTTATTTTGAACAAGTCAGACATATGAAAATAAATGTACAGACCCTGAGAGATTTGGAAGAGGACTTTCTTATCAACAGTACCAAAATAATTTCCTCTCCATTTTTGTATACATTCACAAAACAGGACAAAGTATTTTTGCCTTTTAAATTCCTTTAACGTCAGTTTACCAGTTTTTTAAAAATGCTGTTAATGTTCCAAAGCAATTTGTGTCTGCAAATTTTAAAAATATAAATAAACCAAATAGAAATGTTACCATTCTGTCCAATGAGGGACAGTTCCAGCTTCACTGAGATACACGCATGTTGTTTTCATTGTTTGCATGTTTGTCTTGAGAATTAATAGAGCTGTTTTGTTACTGGGCTTTGTTTTCACCTGCATGCCTGCATCTGTGTGCTCCCCTGCCCTGTCTCTGTTACCAGCCTGTGTTGCTTAGAAATAGAAGACAATGCAATGCCAGTTGAAGATGATTACCATTTTTCAATGCAAACCATAAAAGGAACAAAAGAACATCTTTTGTCCTAAAGAGTTGTGGAGAAGATACAGTTACTTTGGTTTCTGTTATTCACATTTTATGTCTTATACGGAAAAAAGATATGAGTCTTACTACTGTTTTTTCGGTAACCTTCCTTCACAGCTTGAGTGCAGAAATATTCCACAAGTTACTTTTGGGTAACATTTTTTTTTATTATTTTTTCCACTGCTATAGCATTTATAAATATTTTGGGCCAATTCCATGCTTCTTGTGGTCATACAGGTCAACAGGCTGTTGATCTGAGTGAGTGCTGTAAGCAAGATTTGGCCCTATAAATTCCCCTTTATATATAGGTAAGTATTACTGTCTTCATTTTACAACTGGAAAAACAGTAGCAGAAGGATTCATAAGTGACTTATCTGAAGCAACAAAGAGAGTCATTGTCAAAATCAGGATGAAATTTGAGGAATTCCTGACTGCGAGGTTTGGGACTCTGCATAGATAGCAAATCTCTAAATGTTGCACTGGGATCTGCAGAGGGGAAAAAAAGTACCTACAAAAATGTACAAGCACAAATATCTGTACTGGGATATCACTACATCTTTTGATGCTTTAGTTAGTTGATTGCAGCACTTTCTCTTAAAGTTTCCATTACTCTGCATCTTGCCTGTAAAATGATAAAGTAGAAATACAGAATTAAATGGAGAGATTCAGGTGAAGTAGCCCATATGCACAACAGGGTATTAATTCCCAAAGTTCAGAGTGTGAATTTTTGTGGGTTCTAATGAAACTTGGTTCACCCACAAGTGTTTTCACATTTGGTTTTATGCTCACAAAAATAGCACATGAAAACTCAGCAGATCTGCAGGGAAGGTGTTTGATTTGGTATTCAAAATATTTCCTTACCCCTGCAGATCTGAATGCATTTGCTCAAGTTATATAGTCCTACTTGTGGCTTATTCTATGGCTTACTCTCAAAATCTGAAGAACCTTGAAATAAATTAGTTTGTTCCTTCCAGTTCGTTTATCAGGCCTGGATTACTGACCCTAAAACAGCGCTACGACAAAGGCGCAAAGAGAAGAAAAGTTTTGGGAAGGAGGAGAAACGAAGGCGAAAAGGATCTGGGGATGGTAGGTAGACTTTTATATTTTTTTTTAAATAGAATCCTAACTAAATTGCCTGTTGTTCCTGCTAGTGAAAGGCAGCTGAGTTTTAGAGGTCAAGTGTTCTCAATTCTGGCTAGGAACTGGCAAAATGAGTTTGCCTGCCCCAGTTCATGACAAGACCAGCCATAGCTACATTCTTGCATTCTACACAGTGCACACTGGGGGAGATAAAGGAGAAGAGGGGATATATGTGTTTTCCATAGAGTTGCAAGACACATGCTCCAAACTTTTGCCAAAAAAGAAGACTCGACACATTGCAGAGAACATCAGCTATATGAAAACATGTATGGAAGTAGAGTTTCTTGCAAGAGAAAGCCATAACCTTGTAAAGGCGTAACTTTAAAAAGCCAATAACCTGGTAGTTAACAGCATTTTTCCAGAATATGGGAGTGTTAAGTGCCACGTGTATGACCAGAATCAGGCAGAGAAAGGACATTACCCTTTCATTCCCTCACCTCATAAAGAGGTTTATCGTACTTTCCAGGTTTTTCTAGGATTGCTCAAAGTCTTTCATTTTGATGATAAATTCATGTGTATTCCCAGGGAAAGTTTTGCATGTGACAGACTTATGTTTTATTTCATGAGGAGGTTCCTGAAGAGCTGTAGTTCAAGCAGAGCTGTAAGAAAAATTCAATTAAATAGCCACATATTATTTCTTTTTGCCATATTTCCTACATGGTTCCCTAAAGAAGCTTGAGTTGATACATGGGGAAGAATATCAAGAAATGTTTTTCACTTTCCGTGCTGTGCTCACTGAGGAATCCAAATATCCATGAACTCCTAAATTCACATTGAATTCAGCAGGTAGCAAAAGGAAAACATATAAATGTTAATAGGGTTTTACTGGCACTGTAAAATCAGTCATGGTTCTGAAAATAATCAGTTTATAAGTGGTTCATATCTCTTCATCTTTTGCTCCTTTTTTAAGCAAGAAAAGAAAACGGAAATTCAGAAGCTTTTCTGGTCAGTATAGATGGGAATGAGGGAGTCCATTCAGACTGAATGGGCTAGACTTTTCCTCCATCTGGCAACTTCACCCATCAAAAAGAGGGAGCTTTATAATCTGACTGCTGCCACTGAAGCTCTAGCTGCAATTTTTTAATATTAGATAGAAGGAGAGTCATTTTGCTGTCCTTCAGTTCTGCCTACAACTCTACATCACTCCTCTGCTATAGGCCTAATTAAAAGCATATGGTTGTCTCAAACCAACTCTTCTGCTTCATTGCAACATGAAGGTCCCACTCAATTCATTCAGGTTTGCTGGGTCAGGGGCAGGAGGAGATCAGAGCACAGATCAGGTTGCCCTTTCTAGAAGCTGAAGAAATGAGCTCAAGTGGGAGCCAGTGGAAGATGAGGCTGCTGAGGGCAGAAGCTGTGTCATTGCGAAACTTCTGGGTTTACACCAACAGATAACCTCGCTCAGCAGCCTATCTAGTGAGAAGGAAAACCACTGCAAAGTACAAAAGAGGGCTAGTCATCCACGAACACCTTCACTGGCAGGGTTGTCCCCTCACTTGAGTAATGGAATCGTGCTTTCTGTTAGTAGTGGCAGGTGAGGAACCAGTCACTACTGATTAGTAACTGTAGTGTTTTCTACCTTGAATGGCATTTACACCCACACTTCTGTAGGTGTAACACTCATTGTTTCGCTCATTGTTTTCAATAGATGGTACTGATGCAGACTGTGAAGACAGTGAAGAGGAACCTGTCAAGAAGAAATCTGATGGTCCAGGTACGAAGGCAGAAAGAGGGTTTCTCTGCTGTTAAAATGCAGTTGTGACTGGTGGCACAAGCAGTATATCATAGAGACAGCATTGCAGTGATCCCAGGCTTGCACAAAAGGCCAAAAAATCCACTCTAACCTTTGCAGTGAGAACTTCCTAAGTTCTTTCATGTTTTCAGTTGCCAGATTTCCAAGTCCTGAGCATAAGAACTTCTACTCCTCAACTATTAGCTACTGCACTCACTCTCTACACACTTCAGTAAATACACCTACAGGCTCAGACTTGATCATTTGCAGTGTATTTTACTTCTAGAACAACTTAAACCTAAGCTTAGCTTTCAGTCTTGATTGCATGCAGGCCTGTGTTATATTTTCCATTGACTTTGAATGTCTGAAATGTTATTATTAGCACAAAACCCCTGTGGTTTTCAGTGTGTTTTTGCAAGCTTAATATAATGCTTTTGTCTGGTACTCACCCATTCAGCAAGGTGCAATAATCTCTAAAAAAATGGAATTTTCCCGATCTTACCCATTCTCATTCACTTAAGGGTGCTCTGCACAACAGGAGAAATGCCAGCAGTTTGCACAGTCTTGCCCATATTGAAAGTTTTCCTACAAAGAAGTGTAATAGATCATAAATCTAAGCTTAGCTTTTTTTTTTTAATTGGAGTAAAAGAAGAAAATAGATTTTCCTCTTAAGAAGTCTTCATCGTGGCTTACCTTGAGTGAGACTTTGTTTTCAAAAGCTATTTTTCTTCTCTATTTAAAATCAGTTCCTAGAGTTCCAGATAGAATTGTATCCCTGTGGCTCACACAGGGATGAGTGTAGAAGATGTTACAGGATGTGGGAGATGTCATTTCTTTCTCAAAAGAGCAGTGGTCTCAAATAAATGAGTTGCATTGCTATGGGCGGGGACTGGGGTGTGTGGGGTGGATTTTAAGGACTTTTTTTATTTGTTACTTACTTGCAATGCAGTTACCTGTGTTAAAACACTGAAGTGAATCACCAAAACACATCTCTAGGGAAATACTGCTGGAGTTAGGGAAAGTGAAGGAGGTTTATTATTAATTTATATTGGTAGTAGTCAATTTAGTCAATTTAGGGTGCTTTATATTTTCATTGAAATATTTTGACGATTCCTAGGTATAATTTGTTAAAGAAGATGGTTGGAATAATTAGGTGGTAGTTGTTAATGAAGCATTATCATCATTATTAACCTTAGACCTAATCATGTCTCATACTCTCAGCCAGAGCGAAGCCACCTCTGCATTTGACCCTTTAAGTGAGAATAACGGTCTCTGCAGAAAAGAAAAAATTTTTCCCTTTTTGAAGATGTTTAGATGCAATCAATCCCTAAAAGATTATTTTTAAAAAGTTTTGGAGACCAGCAAAGCTGCCAGAACATCTACAGCATCATTAAAAATGTATACTAAACCACCTTCATCCCAGAGAGAAAAATGACCTTTCAGATTAGACTGGAAGTACTTGGCAAAGCACTGTGGTGAGACTATGGAATGCTAGCAGTGGTCAATAATAAAGATAATTTTAACCTGAGAGCTGCAATTCTCCTGAAATTGGTAGCAAAACCTATGTATTAGAGAGGAAGAGTGTGGGTTAAAAAATAACTTTTTTTATGTGGTATATTTTTGTGTATGAGTGCTCTGTTTTCTTTTAAACTATTCATAATATTATCTGAAATTCAAAGGAAATGAATGCTGCTTGAAGTAAGAACAACCTTACATTGAATTACCAGTGGCAAGATTTCCTGAGCTTCAAGACCTGCATGTTGAATTACGAGTAAATAAAATTTAAGTAGATAAATCATAAACTGTCTCCAATTCTTAGTGACGTAGAAAAAGCCTAAAAAAAAGCAAAATATTATTGAAATAATTCGTGTGTGATCTTTTCTAGGTGATCCTGCTCTAGCAGGGGGGTTGGACTGGACGATCTTCAGAGGTCCCTTCCAACCCCTACCATTCTGTGATATTACAGCTTCACCTTTGCGGTCTTTGTAAGGAGCAAAGTGCACTCCACAAAGTTTTGCATGCCATCTTGTGGTACTGCTAAGAAGTGAAGTTGTTGAAAGCATCATGCTTTAGTGCATAGGTTGGGTCCTTAGTATCTACATCAAACATTTTGTCCTTACATGGCACATTATTGACACATATCTATTGTTTTCTAGGCTGGTTATTCTAACATTAATCTTTATGGCTAGTGCTCTGGAATTTGCAACCCAGCAAAGACAGCTAGCTCTAGAACTGGCTAGCTAGAAAGAAATGTTTTAGTATTTGTACAACGCTATGTAAGAACTGTGGTGTGGCGTGTATGTTTGTGAGTGAAAGAAAAATAAACCAGAAGTGCTGCTTTTTGGGTAAGAAGTGCAGTTGCTAATGCTAAAGGAACTACTGAAATGAGAAATGAACTTTTGACTGCTGTGTTGAGTGAAAAAAAGCTACTATTGTTGGTATAAGCCCATAAGCCCTACTCATGGGAAAGTGTACTGTTTTGGAAAAATGGTGCAAGAGTAATGTTTCATAGCTGATTTTGATGATTTTTCCTACTTGGGCTAGTTGATCTGAGATCACTGATGACACAGTGCAGCCTATTTAAAAAAAAAAAAGGCTTTGGAATCAGTAAATATAGAGAGGTGTGTTTAGGTGGTTGGAAAATCGGGAGAGATTCAAAGACTGTTTAGGCAAGTTAGACTTTAAAACTTACCTAATCAAGGTTTAAGAACAAAAGGCAAACTCTGTGCAGAGAGAATACATGCAGAAGTAGATGGGTAAGGGGTTCAGCTCAACACGCTGGCTGAGCAGCTGTTGAGATCACAGGAGCTGAGGATGTTGATGAATGCCTCAGATGATGAGGATGTCTCAGATGCCCAAATCTTTGAGTTTCAATTTGCAGACCTGTGCATACAGTGTCTCTCTAAAATCAGGGACTGTACGAGTAGTGATTGCAGGACCAGGGAGCTGCAGAGTGGAAAAGGGATTCCAGAGGATAAGCCTCGGCATGCAGGCAGGAAAATGGCCCAGACAGCCAAAAGGCCTTCAGGCATGTTCAGATATTCCTTATGATGACAGGGTCCTGCAGCCTGGATTATTGTCATTATACAATAAAGGAAAAATGAATCTAACTCCAAGCAGAAATACAGTGATATATATTTGTGTTCATTAACACTCGCTTGCTTTTCCTCTCCCTTAGATAACATCATCAAGAGGATATTTAATATCTTGAAATTCACTTGGGTCCTTTTCCTGGCAACACTAGACAGTTTTACAGCTTGGCTTAATTCCATCTCAAGAGAACACATCGATATCTCCACTGTGCTAAGAATTGAGCGCTGTATGCTGACCAGGGAGATTAAGAAGGTAATGCCTCTGGTCTTTTTTGTCTGCTAATGTGACTTCCAGCTCAGTGAAAACTGAAAGATTGTCTTTTCAGATCACTGTGTTAAGGAGAAAATTTATAAAAATCACCTTTATACATGCACTTTAAGAATAGGTTTGGACTGTTTTATAAATATATAAATAATAAATTTCTTGACTTATTATCTGGAAACAAATCAAATTATTGGAAAAATAATTCTTTGAGAGGCTTTTTGATGACGTTTACCTATTCTACATGAGTACATTTGAAAATTAACTTGAGTTATTGTACATTATTATTCTGATGGCACCTTCTGTAATCTTACTTAATATTTAACAAGCATGAGTGCACTACTGGTTTGATGGTCAAAAACTGAGCCTTCATAATACACTTTTTCAGTATTAATCAGTTCAAGTCCACCCATAGAGACTCTGTGATAATCATGGCATAGTGAATTTACTTAATTTGTTAGACTTTATACTTTTTGTCCCATGCCATCTCTTTCTTCCATTTCATCCTTCCTATAAAATTCGTACTCTGATAGTACAGCAGTGTAGTGGCACTCCTTTTTGCCCCAGGTCTCAGAAGTCCCTGCTATTTCAGCATCCTCACTAAAAATCATATTATTCTTTCTCACCGCCCCTGAGTTTTTAGAGTTTTTAACATTTATGCAGAACCCAAGCTAACCTGCATTTTTATGGCCATTACTTATTTGGGACCTTATTTTGATAATTCTTTGCTACTTCTCACCTGAACTATATTGAGTTCTTCCTATCCTTTGTTCAAATTTTATTTACCTTTTTATTTCAGTTTCATGTTGCCAGCAGCCTGATCCTATTTTGGTTACAACAGAGCCCGTATATCCTTGTATAGGCTGGTATATCCTGCTTCAATCCTAGATCTTCTGGTACTAGGGCTCCTTCAAAGAATTTGCCCTCAGCCAATAGCTTTAAACTTCAGGGTTTTTTTACTAGGATCTTTCTCTCCTGTCCTGTGAAATATTGGTACACATGAACATCAGAATCATCAATTCCTCCATAGCAGCCCCAAGTTATTGCTGGTCAAGAAAAGAGGCTCCTGCTGCAACCATCGTGGTGATGTTTTTCTTTGGTGTGGAGTTGGGGACATTCAACCTGATGGATGAAGTTGCTTTGGTCTCCCTCCCAGCTAGTGAAGAACCTGAAATTGAGTCCTCTATCACTTGTGGGGCACTTCTGCTGTCACACCTCTTGTCCTTTACCCCAGGCCTGCAGTCAAGCTAGTATGTAGTGCGTGCCATAATTTCAGAAGCAAGGTGTCATGATAGCACAAACATTTATTACTGCAGAAGCAACATAGCTTGTATACAACAAACCTCGTTGAAAACTTGAGTTTCAGATTTTGTTCTTAAGATTTTATTTTTTTTTCCAAAACTTCAGATTTTGAAAATTTTAGATTTGGGACAGTGTAGAGGACCAGAGTTGAAATACTAGTAAATAATATTAGCAAAGGGAAAACAGGCAGTATTTCAGAGTACTTTTATTGTTTTAGCTAGAAAAAGACCTTGCATAAGGCTTCATTATAAGTCAGAAAAATGACTGTCCAAGAATAGAAATGTTCTCTCTCAGTGTATCTTCTGAACTCACTGCAACTGCTAGTAGAATGAGTTGGATGTGGTTTTGCCTAAAACAGGCTATAAAATTCTCAGTTTTATTCTTATGGTACACCTTTAGAATCCTGATTGCAGTATCATAGCCAGAAAGACTTGATTCTGTGCCCAGGTCTGGTCTGACAGTTAATAAAACCATCCTTTCATGATCTTGCTTGATCTTGAAGTCACAGAGAAAGGTCTTCAGTGTCTTTATCATGGTTTTCCAACTGTATCCATACTTCATGAATAAGTTCTTATTTTGGGACGCTAATGAAAATCTAGATCAGGTTGTACATGACCTGTTTCTTTTTTTTTCTGTTTAAAAAAACCTGCTGCTGACCACTAATAAGATGTATGATTGTTCTTAGAGTCAGTGAGGGTATCGAAAAGAGATATCTCAAAAGCTGCCCATGCCTCATTTTCATATTGAATGATCTGCAGTCCCACAGCAGAGTTTTGTTTTTTATATATAGCCTGAAACTGTTTGCATGGCTCCAGTTTTGCCTGAAAAAACAACACTTTGTGCCATGGTAATTTAAGCCAGAATCTGACTTGCACTCTGAATAAGAACTGCTAGAGGGAGATTACTATTTACTAGGAAACTGCTTGCACAGTTCTTAATCTGTTACTCACCAAATGACAGAAAAAACTAGTTCCTCAAAGGATACATCTCCCCCCTGCTGTGTATCTCTACCTCTACTCTCTTCCACAGGGGAACGTTCCAACACGGGAGAGCATCCATATGTATTACCAGAACCACATGATGAAACTTTCTAAGGAGTCAGGACTGGACTCAATTGATAAAAATCCTGGTCAAGCTTCTGGTTTGCAAGCATCTGAAAGAATGGATAGTTTAGATTCAGCAGCTTCTCGTGACAGTATCTCCAGGTATTGATTTACTTTTATTTTGTGAAAGCTAGAGGGATCATGCAATAGATGTTATTTTAGATAATGTGTAAGTGTTGATGAACTTCCTAATCAATGTTGTATCCTCTTTTTGATATATCCATGACATTTTAATAGCGAAACTCTCCTATATGTTACTATTCCTTTATAGTGATGGACTCAGTTGTTGATTTAACGCTTTTTCCACTTCAGGACTGCACCACTGCTTTCTGTTTCCCATAGAATCAGGAGTCATTGACAGGGGTTCTGATCTTGTAAAAAGTAATGGAAAATAACAGCCTGCTGAGGATGCTTACGGGATAATGTTCTAGGAGTTTGGGCATGGAGTTTGGGCAACAATCATTCACTGTGAATACATTTTCTTTGTAAAATAAATTGTTGTCCATTGCCCACAAATTTAAAAAAACAAGGCTTTTAATTGAGAGGGATTTTGGCTTTGAGAGGACAAAATCCCCCTCTCATACACGTAGAGCAAAGATTATCTGAAGAGTCTGATTTCCTAGCTGTTATGATTATAGTCCAGCAGAGCTACACAGTTTGTGGATCAAATACCCATACTAGCTCAGGAAAACCACCTTCCTCATTCTTTTCTGAAGACGAATGCTGTTGAGCACCTTGCCAAAACTACTGCAAGCTCCTGCTACTCCATGCACACAGAGGCACACACATTCGCGTCCCTCTCTTACAGAGGCAGCCTGTTCCCACTGTGCCCCTGGTGCTCTTCACTTTTAAGAGACCGCAGAAATGGTCCAACATGAGGGGGAGAAGGGAGGGCTTTGGAGATCCAGATGTTTCCTAATCCATTGCATTCTGCTGTCTCCCATTCTTGTCTGAAGTGTGGCAGTATCATATTGTGTTTGATAATCTTAGCAAACTCAGTAGCTTCTGTGTACAATAACTTATGCTTAGCTTTTACTAATGACATATGGGTAGATGTTAGCAGACTGGAAATAATGAGGCCTTGTCTTCCTTTCTGATGTTATTGAAAAGCAAGTGTAAGAGAGTGCCTGTGAGTACTATGCTTCAACAAAATATTCACAAATTGCTCCCCAGGGTGAGCACTGGCCTTTGAGAGGTTCACTCCAGTAAAAACACCAAATCCAAGCAAATCTCTCTCAGTGGCTAGCTACCCAACTAAGCAACACCTTTGTGTTTTGTCTCAAAGTTTTACAGAAGTCAGCTGACGTGAGAAAAATGTAGAGCCAAATTCTATTACCAGCTCACTTGGAGCCACTTGGATATCTGCAGGGCAGAATTTAACTCCACAGAGTTCACTCTTGCCTACAGAAAGAATAGTAATATCAGTCCTCCTGTTACTAAATAGATTTTGATCACATTGTTTACTATAGATAGAAGAAATTATCATTATTACACAACCACATTAGCAAGAATTTTTACTAGAAGCAAAGGGAACCCAATCCCAAAATGAATTCTAAAAAAAGAAGGAGAAGTCTTGTAATTTTCATCTGTAAATTCTGCCTCTTCTGTGAGATGGTATCCAGTGTTGAGCTCCACTTATGTTTTTTTTCTTCTGAATAACCAACCATTTATCATCCTGCTTTGAGCATACTTCCACATTTTAAATCTCTTTTCAAATTCAGAGAATTCAGTGATTCTGTGGAGTTGCTTTGCAACCAAAAAAAAGTTAAATTTTTCACATGTTACTGTCATCTCCGTTTCCTCAGCAGATGCCACAAGACCTATCAACAAAGGAATAGCAAAGGCAGTATTGTCACTGATTTCTCTGATCTCAAATTCTCTTTCTGGTAATGAACAATCAGATATTCTTGCACTAAGAGTATTTACAAATTGTGCACATCTGCTGTAATAATAATGACCTGTAATTAGAGGAAGCAAAATGAGCCTGTTGAGTGAATGATAATGCCTTCTGTTTATTGGGCACCTCTTCCTGGGATTGCAAAAGTGCTTATGACCTTTATTAAAAATGTGAAATGTTTTAAACTTCATGTCAGTTTATTGAGGGATATTTTTTTTTAATTGTCCAAACAAGAGACGTTTCAGTTCTCAACTCTACCTGTGTGTAGGCTTTTGTAGGAACTGCAGGTGGGAGCCCCTGGCCCTTCTGTAAGAGTGAACCCACAAGTGCAGTCAGGGTATTTACGGACACCACTTCTCATCCATGCTTCCTTCACTAGATGGGAGAATAGGACTTGAGACAGGAAGCGGTGGAGAAGTAACTCTTGTCTTGGGAGGCAGAAGAAGGGATGAAAGAAGAGTCCCAGTTTGGGGCTGGATGTGGGTCTGATTTAGGAGAATGAATGATAGGAAATGTTTGGGATCTTTGCTTGCAAGTGTGGAGAGTGTAGTAGCTCGTTAAGGTAATGACAGTAATAACCAGCTCATGGACAGAAAAAAGGAAACAAAAAATTTGTAAGTCACCCCTTAAACTAATAAACTCTCTGGGAAGGGTAAATTTGTTTAGCAAAAAGGAAGTAATAAAGTAAGAAATTTCCCACTCACTGAGGATAAAAGCATCTCGCCATATATATCCCCATTTGAAATGGATACCCGATTAACTTTATATAAAATGCTTGAGCTTGGGGCTTTTAATGAACATCCAATTTAAAATACCTAGTCCTTGAATGATTTCAAGAAGCTAATGCTTTCAAGGTCTCCAGGGACACAAATTTGAAAAGTCACTCAGGAAGATATGCTTGGGTTAAATTTATATGATAGTCAATGACTGAGTCAACATAAGCCTTGCCAAGTGTAAATCTCTCCACTTTATTGGTGTTCTCATTTCCTGCATGTTTGAAAGCATGTTCATAAAGAATATACAGACTGTGCTACAGGTGTCATCTCATACACATGCTCTGACATTCAAGGATACAGAGTGGTTGCTTAGTCCCTAGTTTTTCTGATGATTAATCCTTCATTTAAAACCACTTCAAATTATTGCAGGGACTCTGTCTAGGTAAATGTTTTTATCTGTTGGGATTAATAGATGTTTTTTCTTTCATATTTCTGGGACCCAGGTCAGAACTTGCATATTTTAGAGGGCAGCTGGCAAATGTTTCTTCCATTGAAAAATATATGAACAGTCATGTGCTACTTTGATTTCAACAGCTGCTCAGCTTAAAGGCCTTGGAAGGTTCCCTTTGAACTGTGTCTGCATTTAAAATACTTCAACACCTTAGTAAGAGGTGTTGCTCTTGAAAAGCCTAAAGTCAGCCCTTGAGATGTAAAATAACACGTGGATAAAATTGTAGCACACAGACAGAAAGGTAATCTGCAAAAATAGATTGTCTACTTGCTGCTGTCTCCCTGTATTTTAGCACCAAAACCTCACTGATAGTACAACAACCTGGCAATACTCCATAGGTGGATGTGTAAAGGGAAACCTCCTCCCCCATGACCCCCCTGGAGTAAGTGAGATGGAGCTTTGACTGATTTCCACACTGCTGAATCAGGCTCCTATGGTGGATCTCCTGTTCCTATAGGAAGCAGCATTTGCTGCTTCATTTAAACCCTGCACCATGCAGACAGCCCTCCAGGTTTTGTCTGGAGGATGCTTTGTGTGCCTTTGTACGCACACAGAAACGTTGAGATAGCTTGTAAAGGGTCTTGGCCAAACGAACTGGCGAGACAGAGGTGCCCCTGCCATTAATACTGTTTTCAAGGAAAGTATTTCACAATACCTTTGGTATCTTGGTGATACTTTTCTTCTATTCAAAGACCAAAGTATGTCTTTAGCCTCAGCCCATTCTGTCAAAAAAGACCATCAGTGAGTGTAGGCCTAAGAATAACTGCTTCTTTGCTCCGTGTATTTTGCTATTTTCCTTCTCATTTTCCTTAAGGCAATAATTGCAAACTGTGACTTCACACCAGCAGATTTTTTGCCTCACTTCAAGTTAACAAGACCAAAGTAACACGGACAATGCCATTGCACTTCCCTTCTGACCTCTTTCCCAATTCTCTGTGCCCCTGAACAAACATAATGCTTGCCAGGGAAGCAAATGCACTGCTGCCACTGCTCAGGTGTAACACAGATAGACTCAGAAAAAAAAGTAGAGTGTAAATCCTGCATTTTGGGGTCCCTTCTTCTCTCATTCTATCTGAGAGACAGGTCACTGCATGTGTTACCAGGTCCCTCAACTTATTTCATAGACATCTGTGTTTTTCAAATATTTTTACAGGAGAAAGAATTCTTTTAACTACCATATGTCATTAATGTATTTGCTTCTTTCCTGTTGCTATGTTATATGCTTGTATCTAATTATGTACTTTCTTTCTCATAACTCATCCAGTTCTTCTTTTCTCCAGTAACACGTAAATGCTCAATGTATGGTGTATGTCTCTGGTGTTCTGTTGTACTTGATAAGTGAAAGGAGATAAGGGTTTACTATATCTATTCCTTCTTTCAAGATATGCATGTTAGCAATTTTGAAATAGTTTTTAATCTGTGATTGAAATATATGAAATCTGGAAAGCATCATCAGGACTTACTACTAAATATCAAAATAAAAGCCATCTCATGCAGAGCAGGTTATATTTGGCATGCATCTACTGGCTAAGTAACATATCCGATTTGGCTCTTTGGTTTGGAAAGAGGATCAGCCAATGTCTGACAGCTATTTTTCTATTTGTGGAATATGAGCTTTTTCACTTCTCAGGGCTCTTTTAGGAAATTGGCTTGTAACTGTGTAAAAAAGTTCAGCACAGTATATCGTTAATAAGATAGAATTTGTGCAGAGGAGGTTGCTTCCCAAAACATTTTTGTGGAATTTGGAAATCTCAAGGGGCAAAAAAGAAAATAAAACCTCCTCACATATGTAGATTGGTGCCCCTGGAGAGCATGTGGAGTACTATGTTGGTTTCATCTCTCTCTGAATAGTGAATAGATGGTTTTTAGCCTTCTATAGCCCCTATATGAATATGACCATGAACGACCTCTGTGTAGAAATGTGTTTACATGGTGACTCCAAACAAATCCTTATCTTCTCTCTGAACTGTTTTTCTCTGTGTCAGTGTTTTGCTGCATGGCGAGCATATTTGTTTACTGAACCATGTGTATAGTAATGTCATTTGTATTTAACACTGTCTTTGTAACTGTTTGCGCTGCTAGCTGCTACACTGAAGCAACCATGCTGTTCTCAAGGCAGTCAACCCTTGATGATTTAGATGGACCAGACACTGTTCCTAAAACAAGTGAGCGCGCTCGACCTAGGCTTCGTAAAATGCAGAGCATGGATATGTCCTCCTCATCAGCTGACAGTGGCAGTATAGTGTCAAGGTGCTTAACTCATGCATGCTTTGTTCACTCATTTACCCATACCATTATAGTTACTGCGGTGGACAGAAATTTGTGTTTGCAAATCTGTGGTGTACAGAGTGGTTTGCATGGTTAATGGAAGCTTTACTCCCTTCTGCGTTATGCACAATTCTGAGGTTCAAAGTCAGGGTCATAAGCTAGGACTCATCTGCTATTTCACTTCTCATTCTGTTTTTGGTTTGGTTTGGTTTTTATTCTTAATTAATGTAACTTTTTTTAAGTTGTTCCATTACATTACTCTGGCTATCTAAAACCAGGCTTAAGTCTGTATTTATTCAGTTAAAAAAGGGTCTGATTTTCAGAGTTACTGAGCTGATGGTTGTTCTTATTAAAATTGGAAGCTGGAAGTGAAGTTTCTCAGCTAATCAGTTATCCTAAATATGGACTTAGATGTCTAATTTTAGAAACTGTGATAGGTGAACATTGGCCCTGCTCTTTCAATTTTTATTTTTCCCCATATAGGAAAGGTTGCTAAATATGTTTTGATTACTTTACCATTGATATATAGTCTGTGAGGTGTTGGAATTAAGAAAGGGGAAATAGCTATGAAAAGATAGTGAATAATAGTAATATCCAGTGCAAAACAGAACTGCTCAGAGCCATCCACTCATTTTTTAGCAGGTAAAAAACAGGATTTTATATGACATTTGGAAGCAGTGCTTCAACTAGTATTATAAATATTATAAATATGAAAATTTATGGCATTTTAGATCATTCTTTTTCAGCATTTAAAGTGTCTTATAAATCTTTGGTGTTGATCAGTTTTGAATTGATGGGCTTTTATAGTTTTATGTATTTTAACCAGGATGAGTGCGACTATGAATCATCAAAACACACATCCTAATAATAGTGTTACACATTCTAATTAAAAGTCTGCTAGAAATAAAGTGATCTAATGTAGCCACAATAAGTTTTGAAGCAGATTAAAATAAAAAGAGATGGAACTTGGTTTAATTTTGGCAGGAGATGGTAGTGCCAGCTGGCTTTGCCAGAGCCAGTTTTCTTTAAAAGGTTACACTTTAGGTGAAAACATGGCCCCATTCATTTCATACGGGCTGTGTGAAATCTGGTGTTGTCTCTGTTGGGATACAAGAACATGCAGCCATCAAAAGCCACTGAGTTGATGCCTATTGTCTAACCTATGGAGAAGAACTGGAATGGAGACTAAAAAGAGAAAGAGTGATGTTCAAGGGGAGAGGTGAAAAAATACATGTGAGGGATGAAAAGGGTGAAAGCAAAGCCAAGAAAATATTTTTAAAATCATGGTGTCCAGATTCCCATCTGGAGTCATCAAGCTGCATGAATTTACATCAGTTGAGACTGTTGCAGAGCACAGAGCACTAAGAGAGAAAGTGATTCTGGGTGTGCAAAGCCAAGAATGAGCAAGGCGAACAAGCAAAGAACTGACCAGTGTGAATAAGAACAGTTGATAAAGAAAATAGGTCTATACAGAAGAAAACCAGGCAAGTAAGGTAAAAATGAAGACTGTGTTGAAGAACATAGGGCAATCTAAAGGTAAGCAAGGTACTCTGCCACTGTAACAGTTTTGTCATCTGGATTGTACTTCTCCATGTTAGCAATTTACTTGTTCTTTTATTTGGAATCAGAGTTGATGTGTGTTCAGCTCACATTCCCATGGTTAACAACCATATGGTGGTTGTTAAAAGCACTGTGTTTAGAAGGAATCCTATGGCTGCCCATCATTCACCATGGAGCATGCTTTAAATAGATGTAAGCCCTGATTCTGACCAAAAAAGTGTTTGAACTACTTTCAGAAAGTTACTGTTGTTTCTCTTGATGATGACAGTAATTTGCCCTTTGCTGATGTGAGGAGATAATGAATCACTGTGAGTTCACTGGGACATCATTCAGGGGACAGGTGGACCTAGATGGTCCTTCTGTGTAAGAAGAGATAATGATGATATATTTTTATATACCAGATTAAATGAACTTTGAAGGCCTGGGAATGCAATGGGGTTGCTGAGCTGTTTACATGAAGGTATGATTAATGAACTTTGCTTGGTGGTGAGCCTTGAAAGCCTCAACCATCTCTCTTCATCCATCCCCAACAGTGAACCTACACAGGTCACCATGCTCTATTCTCGTCAGGGGACAACAGAAACCATTGAGGAGGTAGAAGGGGAGCATGAAGAGGAAGGAGCTCATTCTGCATCAAGGACAGAGGAAGAGGAGGTGGAAGATTATAGCCTGGGTTCAGAAGGAGCTGCGTATACTCCTGATACCGATGTGCCATTGTACTCCACTGTGGATAGCAATGCAGAAGCTCCACCTTCCTATAGCAAAGCTGTCAGCTTTGAACACCTTCCCTTTGGCTCCCCAGATGACTCAACTGCTAAGGGCCTCATGATGGTGAGCCCAGACGACAGTCGGACAGACAAACTTAATGATACAATTCTCCCTCCATTGACGCACGAGCTCACAGCTAGTGAGCTACTTCTGAACAAGTAAGGACCTTTGACAGGGAAAAAATGTTGGTCCCAAACTGTGAAGTTTTTTCATTACTTTGGGTTTTTTGCCTCAGAAGTAGCCCACAATTTCTGATACAGACCTTGCACTAAATTTGATTTAAGGGAAGAAGCTCATTTCCTGTGCGGTTGCTCTAATTACAGATTTCTAAAATTATTCAAATTCATGTTGGAAAGAGTCTCTGCTTTATCCCCAGATACCGTAGCTAATAGTTCCAATTAGCATCAGATTTCTGTACTGCAATTGTCATGGGGTCGAGAGCTTTTCTAAATATTGCATGTGAAGAGGGCTTCTTTTCTCCAGGCAGCTGTGATTTCAAGTAAGTTTCCTCCAGGGCTATCTGGGAAAATGTTTCTCCTTTAATTATTTTGTATTACTATAAGGGAAACTCTGACCTTTGGCAGAGTCTTTCTTTAAGCCAGTAGGAAATGAGGGCTATGTAGAAAGACCACCTTGCTAAGTACTTTCATAAGGGATAGGATGCTCCCCTCTTTGACCCACAGACACTATGCTCAGTAGCACAAGCAGCACTGAGGTGGGGACGGTGCCACTGCTTTACTTCCTCTGCTTTCCAGCCTGACTCAGCTAGGGGAAAGCTTCCCCAAATACAAGGACAAAATCTTAAACCATAGCAGAGCCTTTCAGCCTGGCTGCATCTGGAGAAAGAGACTGTGTAGATTTGACTTTCTAGATGCAATGTCGTTTCTTCTGGTTTTCCACAGTAATTTTTGTTTTTCAGTGAGATCTCTTCTCAGACCAAGGCACTCTTTATGAAAAGCAAAGAAAGTTGTCAATGTATGTGAAAGTCCTATAATGATTTCTTGCTGCCTTTTATATTTATTTGAGTTAGGCAAAGAGGAGAAGATTGGACACATCTAATACTCAAGGACATTTATTATGTTCTAATCTTGTGTCACAGGACTATTCATAACAAACTATTCCTGATGGACCTCTGGAGTTTCTTCAAATTCCCATCTGTGTTGATAAATCAGATACGAATCCAGACAGGGTCACATCACCACAGTGTGATTTAACGAGATGTGTTGGCTGAACAATTGTAGGAAAGTGGTGTTTGTAGAAGTTCTCGCGCCAGGCCAACTCTCTGGGTAAATTAAAACACAGCAGAACCATGCTTCTAGATATTTTGCTTCAAATTCTTGTTTTCTGAGCTTAGAATCAGCCTATTTGATTATAATACCAAATCCCATCTTTTCCTTTCTTTTTCCCCCCATTGAATTCAGCAGCAGAATTTTATACTTTTTCAAAAGGAAAAATAGTAGGACTTTAAAGAGCAGCTCTTGTGAAATTAATTTTCATTTCATTTATGGTACTCTGCTCCTCACAGGATGTTTCATGATGACGAACTGGAGGAGTCAGAGAAGTTCTATGTTGGCCAGCCTCGAGTCTTGCTTCTTATTTATGCCCTGTACAATACGCTGGTGGCCCGGTCAGAAATGGTGTGCTATTTTGTGATCATCCTTAACCACATGATCTCTGCCTCCATGATAACCCTGGTGCTTCCCATCCTTATATTCCTTTGGGCCATGCTGTCTGTTCCTCGGCCAAGCAAACGTTTCTGGATGACAGCCATTGTCTACACTGAGGTATGCTGCTCGTTTTGCAACCCCATCTCTTAACACAGAAAAGTTAAGTTGTAAGCTTTGCATTGTCTCTTTTCTGGTTTTGCTCAGGGGCCTTTGGACTTCGTATTACTATAAATATTTTCTGAAGTCCTTAGCAATTTCTGTGGTATGAAAAGGTCTTGTTTGTGTTTTTCTTCATAGCAATGAGCAATATCCTTCCCGGCATTTAAAGCAGTTATCACAAGAACAGACCATTTGCAAATAGCTACTATATAACTAATAATCAAGAGGCAGTATAGACTGCTTGTGGTATCTCAGGTACCACTGAGCATCATTTGTTGGTAAATGTTGATTGACTTGATTACTGAGGAAATGTGAACTGCTGTTCTTCTGTAACAATGAATATGCTTGTTTATTTTCTCATAAAACTGGCGAAGTAGTCATATTTCTCCCCTCTTAGTGTCACGAGGCTATTATATCTGCCATGCTTATAAAACACCCCAAGTGTATTGTGCTTCTGAACAGGTGACCATTGTCATCAAGTACTTCTTCCAGTTTGGTTTCTTTCCTTGGAATAAATATGTGGATTACACAAAAGATAAACCTTACCATCCACCCAATATTATTGGCATTGAGAAGAAAGAAGGTTATGTGCACTATGATCTTGTTCAGCTCCTTGCTTTGTTCTTCCACAGATCCATTTTAAAGGTAAGCTGAGTTCATGTAGTTTCTTATTCTATATTTAATTTTTAGTTTTAATTTTCTTAGTCACTTGTGATATAGGAAAGTCACTCATCTGGATATCAGGAAAAAATTCTTCACTAAAATGGTTATCAAGCATTGGGACGGGCTGCCCAGGGAAGTGGTTGAATCACCATCCCTGGATGTATTTAAAAGAATTTTAGATGTGGCACTTAGCGACATATTTTAGTGGTGGACTTGGCAGTTTTAGGCTTATGGTTGGACATGATTGTAAAGGCCTTATCTAACCTAAGTGATTCTGTGATATCCCAACACAATGAATTTGTCACTCCCCTTGTGAACACTTGACTGAGTTTAGCAATGCCTGTGATAAATAGTGACAGAACAACAAGGTTGAAATACTCTCTTCTTCTTTTTCACTAGTGCCATGGATTATGGGATGAAGACGAGAAAGGGGACAGCTCCAGTAATAAAGAGGATACTGATGATGAACTCTCTCTGACAGGAGGCAGGAGAGACTCTTCTGCCTCTTTGAAATCTGTAAATCTTGCGGCATCAGTGGAGTCCATCCATGTCCACTTCCCTGAGCAGCAGACCGCCATCAGGAGGAAGAGCTCTAGCAGTGCCTCACAGCTTTCGCACAGATCCAGCTTCTCCTCACACAGATCTAAGAGAGGTAAATGTCATGGAATTTCTGGGATTTGAAGAGCAAATGTTCATTTACAATAGGATCATCCTGCTGAAACCTTGTGCTGGTTACTGCGGAGCTCCCAGAGGCTACTGAGTGCTGCTGCTTCTCAGTGAGGAAATAGGATATGAACCAAAGTATCTTCATGTTTTGAACACACTCCAAGCCTTCTTAAAGTTCAAATGGAGAGCCATACTTAGTGATTCACTGTGTTTTTAAAATTACATTGTCCAAAAGCTGGGAAAGGAATGCTTATTGTGGCTCAGATCCAGAATTTCTCGTTCAGCATAATCTCCAGCCAGAGGGAATGCAAAGCATCTGTATTTTTCTTATCTACATTTGATGATACTTGAAGTGAGAAAAAGTTTTGATTAGGTATATTGAAACAGAATACCGATCCCATCTTATAAAAAGGACAGGCTTACTGTAGCCTGAATGTACATATTTACCAATTGAAATGACTGAGTCAAATCAATCAAATACTTGCCTTTATCACTAGTCTTCTCTTTTTTTAGCTGTTAATCAAGTTTCGATCTGCCAGTGATTAAACCTTTACTGGATGCTCTCATGATTTTATCATATTGGAAAAAAACCCATGAGAATTCATTTCAAAGCTTCTTTCAAATGAGAGCCTCATATGTGGGATGGAAGTCTTGAGATTTATTACTTTCTAGTTTTTATATTTAAACTTTGATTTTGAATTAACTTCTCTTGCCCTCCCTTTTTTTCAGGAAGTACTAGTACACGAACCAGCAGTCAGAAAGGAAGCAGTGTGTTAAGCATCAAGCAAAAATCTAGAAAAGAGCTTCTTATGGAAAAGTTTCGAGAACAAATGATCAAAGCCAAGGCCTTTACAATTAAAAAGTGAGCAATGTGAGGAGTCATGTGGGTCTGGGGGGAAGTTCCAAACAGTAAAGCAGTAAAACAGCATTAAAACAAAGAGCAAGTTGCCAATTCTGTTAATTCAAGGGGATGAACGGGTACACATACAGTTCATTGTATGCAGATGCTTTCACTCTAAGTCCCACTAGCTGAATATCAGACAAATCAGCAGTTGTTCAAATAGCATCTGCCTCATAAAAAAGCTAAATATCCTGTGTGAACTTGATTGGCTATGTATATTTCTACTCAACAAATGCTAATTGAATGGTTTAGACGAAAACAGAACAAGAGACAGGTGTCTGTGAAGGCTGTCAGAGTAGATCTTAGATATCTTTAAAATAATTAAACATATCACACCCCGCCATTCTTATCTTCAGTGCAAGTTATGGTGTTGTTAAATCACATTGCGATCTATGTTGTTTTAGGACCCTCCAGGTGTATGTGCCCATCAGACAGTTTTTCTACAATCTTATTCATCCAGACTACAGTGCGGTGACTGATGTGTATGTGCTGATGTTCCTCGCAGATACAGTGGACTTCATCATCATTGTGTTTGGATTTTGGGCTTTTGGGGTATGTCACAGAGGCATCTGTCTGTAAACCCTCAGTAGGATTTACATGCTGTAGATGCTAAGTATCATGTGAGTGTCCTTCTTCCTCGACCACTCTGTTATGTTTTCCTTTACAGAAACACTCTGCAGCAGCAGATATCACCTCTTCATTATCAGAGGACCAGGTCCCAGAGGCATTTTTGGTGATGGTGCTTATTCAGTTTGGTACCATGGTGGTAGACCGAGCACTGTACCTCAAAAAGACTGTCATGGGAAAGGTCATCTTCCAAGTCATCCTTGTTTTTGGAATACATTTCTGGATGTTCTTTATCTTACCTGGGGTGACAGAAAGGTATACCCTTATAATCAGACAATATGGTTTGAATACTGATGCTCTACAAAGTTTTTTGTACTTAAATTTGAGATTGTTATAGCTAAACTTTGGAATCATGAACAGGTTTCTTCTAGGTCTCATTTATAAGCAGATTGTTGGAGTGCCTTTCCACAGCAATAACTGTTGCCAACATAAGTTTGAGGAAGTATTAATTATAGAAGTATATACAGAAATATTCTCAGCTTAGTCCAAAATACTTGCAGATGAAAGAGAACTTGCTTGTAATTGAGTGATTAGAGCCTTCAGCTGAGACAATGTTGGCCTCTGATTTGATTCCCTACTCCCAAGACTGCTGCATGCTGGTTTAGAAGAGTGAGTAGAAAATGGTGCTCTCAGAGTAATTTATAATATAGCACTTTCTGGAAATGTGTGAACTGTGGATTTAAATCTCCTTAGACTGAGGAATGTCTAAAACACGTGTCTCTTCTGAAGGGCAAAAGTTCTCCTCCTCTGCTTCTGCCACATAGCTCTGGAGGCGATGTGGAAGTGATCACCTGCTGCATGAAATCTTGTATGAGATGCCTGGTCAGATTCACCTCCAAATCTAACATTTCTCATTCCATGGCTCAAGGCAGTTATCACCTCAGTCTGCACTTCAGAGGTGTTAAGGTTCCCTCTCTAGTGCTTGGCTAATTCCCTCTTAGGACTTTAAATTGCCTTGGAATATTTACCTCACTCCATAGACTATACAGGGAAGTTGAGTGTGTCACCTGAGCTTATTACACTTTGTTAACAGTTGAGTTATTTTACTGGGAAAAAAACAAAATATGTGCATCGTGTAAAGAAAGACTGAAAGGTCTCATTTCCTCTCAAAAAACATTGTTTTATTTTTCCTCAGTGCAGTAGTAATTGTGCCCCAACTTGAAAAAAAACCAACGTGTTTTTCAATTGGATCTCCTATCTACTGTGCATTGAGAATTGTTATGAAACTTTTGGCTTGATTTGGTCACTTGAAAGGCAATAAAATTGTTTTGACTTTTTCTTTGTTTTTATGAAATCTGTGTCAAGTTGTTAATCTCAAATCTGCATCTGAAACCTCCTGTATTCCTTGTAAGTCAGGATGATTCTTAGAAGTCCCTGCAAATTTCTTAATGAAAATAGTTTTGCGGAAGGTAAATAAAAATATTGGATCATGTCTGACTCACAAACCCTGTCCATTACGAGGCATCTCCTGCAGTTCCACCATGCTATTAAACTGCAGTCAGAAGTGGCATATCTTCACCAAGGTGGTCAGGGGGATGGAGCTCATGACATCTGAGGAGAGGTTGGGGGAACAGGGTTAGTTCAGTCTGGAGAAAAGAAAGTTAAGAGCTCTCTTCAGCTACCTAATAAGAGACCATTGAGAAGAAGCCAAGCTCTTTTCAGGTAGTACAAGAGGCCACACATTGGAAAAAAGGGAAATTCCAGTTTGATATGATGAAAAATCTTTTCACCATGACAGTAGTTGAACACTGGAGCAGGTTGCCCTGACAGGTTGTGGGATCTCCATTTTCAGAGATATTCAAAACTCAACTGGTCAGGTCCTTGAACAATTTGGTGTAATTAGACCTGATTCAAGCAGAGGAGAGTGAAAAAGATGATCATCAGAGGTCACTCCAATTTAAAATCTAGTATGAGTTCATGACCTTGGAGGTGTCCCCATGAACACAAGTAGCCATTAAAGCTGCCTAGATTCACTCCAGATGTCAGCCTTCTGAAAAGCCAAGAGAAGCAGTATCTACCCAGGGCTCACAGAGAAATGTGCCATCATGGAGGCTGAGGGTAAACTGGTCTGTGCTGGGCAGCAAGGCACTTCTAGCATCCCGAGGAAGAGGGCACTGCCCCAGAGCCCTCACGCTTTGGGAAGCCTATTCCCAGTCTCTCCCCTGTGACCCTAAGGTGACAACAGATGCTGTTTATAGACTTTCTCATCCAGAGCCTTTCAAATACTGTTTTAACCCTGCAGTCGGGTCAGAAACCAAGGGCTTTTAACAGGATCTCAGGAAAGGGAAACTGCCAGGAGCACAAAACATTTCAAGCTAATTTGGTCATACACGGATACAAAGCTCATCATTCTCCTTTATCTGTCTTTTCCATTACAGGAAATTTAGCCAGAACACAGTTGCCCAGCTCTGGTATTTTGTGAAATGTGTTTATTTTGGATTATCAGCATATCAGATACGCTGCGGATATCCAACTCGTGTTCTTGGCAACTTCCTCACAAAAAGTTATAACTATGTCAACCTGTTCTTATTTCAAGGGTAAGTCTAGACCTACTGCCCCCCTTTCTTTTGTGGAATAAGGATTTGTTATTATAAAATGCTGGGGTTATTCATGACTTCTTTTCATAGGCTGCTGGAAATGAGACAGTAAATTTTGCACAACGCACTCTGTTTATACCACATGTCCCCTGTAGTACACAAAAAGCTAATTACAGAAATGCAAATTTCAGAAAAAAATCAGTCTCCCACTCTGAATCGAGAAACCTGACATACCAGTCAGCCATTCAAGTACCTATGGAAGAAATGTCTGGAAGAGATAGGTATTTTTAACACTTCTAAGAAATCACCTCTGTGAACAGAGATAGGGGCTACACACTGAGCTAGAAAACAGGTAATGTTACTTGCTTTGCAGTGCTAAAAACTAGTAAGACATCAAATCCCAAAGAGATCTTTGGAGCAGGTCTACAGGCTCTGCCTCACCCAGTAAGAAGAATAAAGTGAAAGACAATGCATGTAAGAAATAAGAGCTATGCATCAAAAAATGTTTCTTTGTGTATCTTTTGAGAGGTGCTGCACATTTGAAACTCTTCATGAGTTAGGAGTGGTAGCACAAGTAACAGACACAGCATCATCTCAGAATGAAAGATGGTGTTAAGGAGGCATACCCCACCCTCCACTTATGCTGCTACCATGATGTTGTGATTAAGCCAGTTCGAAGCATATACATATTTCACAGAAAAGCTGGAATAATTTCAGCCTTTTCCCAATATTTTTTTTCGTATGGGCTTGTTGCATTCCAATACGAAAAGTTGCAGTAGAAAGGTTTCTTCACAGGAAATAGTCTTTGTGACCTGACCAAACAGAAAAGTGTGGGACTAGTAAAGGGAACAATGCACTTGGAACAGCTGTTACATGCATTTTGTTTTACTGTTAGCCCATCTTCTCCTGCTGCTTAAGCCTGAGCCATAATGCTCAATTCCATAAGTGGCTGAGGATTCCCCACCTACTGTAAAGAAGCCATGCACCACTTGGTATAAGCAGGTATAAAACAAATTCCCATCATCCTGTGGAAAGGATGTTCCTGTACTCCACTCCCAGGTCAAAGGAATTTGGGGATATGAGAAAGTCTCTCTTGTACCATTCCATCAGTGGCCCAATCACAGTTACTGGGCATAATGATGCAAAAACATGTTTATGGCCTGACAAGGAGATCTAGAGGAACATGAGCTATGGCATAAGATATCACCCACAAAACATCAGTACTAGCCATGCAATCTCAGGATATGATTGTACTTGTGTTTGCAAGATCTTCCATTAAACTATCTTTTAACATTTTCTTTATTCTCACTCCTGTCATATATACACTTGCTGTCCTCATTTAATGTGATCCCCCCCCATTTCTGACGAGTTGTCTGCTCTGGTCTCCCTTCAGGTTCCGCCTGGTTCCATTTTTGACTGAGCTGAGAGCAGTAATGGACTGGGTTTGGACTGATACCACTCTCAGTCTTTCCAGCTGGATCTGTGTTGAAGATATCTATGCTCATATATTCATCCTGAAGTGTTGGCGAGAGTCAGAAAAAGTAAGGAAGCCCCATATGAGTGATCCAGGTCTCCTCTCCCCCATGCAGAAATGAAGATAAATAATCAGGAGTCTCTAAATAATCCATCATAAAGACAGATTGTTAGAAGATACACCTGGTGTTTATGTTCAGAAATATTCAGACTCCTGGGTACTTTATGTTGGCATTTACTGCAAGTGACATTTCAAATGGCTTCTCTTTTGTGTCTGGCTGATTTTTCCATAGTTAATGTGAACTCCACAAGCATGTGCCTGCTAGCTTAATTGCATACCTGAGATTTAAGGGCATGGTTGAAAGTCCTGGTATTCACACAGGCTCACTTTGTCCATAACAACCAAGTGAGTGACCTGTGGTAGCAGGGAAACTGTAGCTGAAGAAGAAGGAAGAGCTCGTGCCTCCACAGTGCAGGTTCCAGGGCACCTGGTTCATGTAACCACAGAGGGAACTCATCTGGCTTCTTTATCTCGGGAGAGTCCCTGCACATCCAGAATTGAACTGCAGGCCAGATAAATCCACCATTTGTCTGACTGAAATTTCACTCTCTTTAAGTCATTTAAGCTTCAGTTCAAATTAAACTTGCAAATTCTGGATTCCTTATAACCCCTGTAAAGATTGCAACCATATGCTTGCTTATTTTGCCAATTTGAAAAAGAAATTAAGCATTCTTTTAAGAGTGACCCAACCAGTCAGAAATTGTACATCTGCAATGAAACGGCTGCATTTTTAAGTGTTACTGACGTACTTCTACTTTTATTATAATCCTGTCTCTTAATGGCAATTACTTTCCAAGTATGTCACTTAGATTAACTCAGTGCTGAAGTGCGCACAAATCTTGCATATAGGCTTTTTCTGTATAAATTCCATTTCTGCCATGAATGGAGTATCATCAGAGGCTTCAGGAGTCAGAGAAACAATAATCCAGTTCTACTTTGACTGTCCATCTCACTGCATTATTTTACACTACAACAGGATCACTCTGCCTTATATGTAGCATAGATCTGAAGTGGGAAGATTTCCACAGCTAAGCTAGCAAGTCTGTGCTAATGCTATGTAGCAAAATAACTACCACGACGCTATGAGTGTTGTTCAAGGTACTTTGATTCTCTCTGTCTCTCTCTCTCACAGTGAGTGGTATGCCCCTGTACTTTGACTGCTAGAGGCTCTCTTGAGCTCTTCTGTATCATCATTAAAGGTGCCTGAACTAATCTCATACAGGCAAATAATATACCCCTGGTGATCTAGAAAAAAGTATTCTGTAGCGCAAGATGAATGACTTGATACACTGCTTTTGAAAAGTAACTGATTTGTTTTAAATATAGCATTGTATTACAAATTTAATATTCTCCATGGGCTTTATGGATTCATGTTGTAAAGCAAGAACAATTTCCTGAAAGCCAGATTCCTGGCATGTGTTTGAGGTGCAGTGCAATACAATGTGTCTTTATTTTGCATATGCAGTATGCAGCGTGTGAAAGACAGAATCCTAAAACACTGTGCGGAGTTAAATCCTATAAGAGAATACACCAATATAAATTACAATGATGGTAAGGCCTTTTACGGGATGGTGAAACTATTAAAGTATTCAATCATGAGGCAAATAACAAAAAATGGGAATCATGGACAAGGCAGAGCAGATGTGCCATGTGATCTGCTTTGAAAAGAGAAGGATAGAAGCAAAGTCACTTTTGACATCAGGAGCTAAGAAAGGGAAGGGTGTTACATCACCAGCATCAAGACTTGAGGAACAGCAACAAAACTTTGAACATCATTTAAATGCAGTTGGTGTGGGATTCAGTAGAAACAGACTAGATCAAGTCTGTGGATGATTCTTAGAAATATGGTATGTGAGGTATGAAATGAATGTGGAGGTAGTGCAATATCAGACAATCCTACTGATTGTGCATGTCAGTTTCTGGCAATCAAATTTATTTTTTTCCCCTGAAATACAATTTGCAGCATTTCAAATTCCATGAGAGGACTTCTGCCTTAAGGGGCTTTGAGATAAAATTTTTTGGAAGGACAAATACAAGAAAGCAGGTCACTCCCAATGTATTTTTTTTAAACAAATTGTTGTATCACTATTGCTGCTATTATTTTACATTTGGTTCCTGTGAGTTCATGATTGCCCTCATTCAGAAGAAAAATTCAAATTAACCTCCCCAATTTTTCCCTTTATGTTTGTGAAGAATCAAAACCACAGAGGTTTACAATATTTGTCAGAACAAACACACATTTTACATGGGTTCATTTGACACTTTTCTCTGTTGTCACCAGAAATTTCAGGTTTGGCTGAAAATCTCAAAATAACTGGCCTGATAATGGGTAGCAAATTACCACAGAAGATGGAAATCCTTAAGATTATATATTCACCCATCAAATCATACCAAGTATTCCACTGATAGAAGAGACATTACCATGTTGCTGTTTGCTTTTGCAGAGATATCCCCAACCAAGAGGCCAGAAGAAAAAGAAAGTTGTGAAGTATGGAATGGGTGGCATGATTATCGTCTTGCTGATTTGTATTGTCTGGTTCCCACTGCTCTTCATGTCTTTAATCAAATCTGTTGCAGGCATCACCAACAAGCCTCTAGATGTATCAATCACAATAACTCTAGGAGGTTATCAGGTAAAAAAAGAAGACAGATTAAAAGCAAGCTCTGTTTTTGCACTGTATTTCCTTGTACTATTTCTTATTCCCTTCACTGAATTGAAGTCTCCTGCCGTATGCAAGAGATCAGGCTAGCTCCTGCAAATGATCCCTTTTGGGTTTAAAAACACGTTAGTTTATCACTGATGTAAAATATTATTTCCATTTGCAAGTGAAAAACAGAACCTACTGGCAGTAGGATGAATTATCCTACGTCAGGTAACTGCCTAAATGTAAGATCATTGGAAGTTGCTTGTTTCTCAGTGGAACAAGATCATAACCTTCTGCTGTTGAATTGAACACCATAATTGTCTTGGACTGTGATGCACAGGATGCTGTACTGTGTACGCAGCAGCTGAGGTGAAGTCACATTGTGACAAGTGTGTGTTCTTTTGTTTCCCAGCCTATTTTTACAATGAGTGCTCAGCAGAGTCAGCTCAAGGATTTGAATCAGACTGGTTTCAGTGCGTTTCTGGGAAGCTATACCGGTAACACTGTAAGTGAAATGTAAAATACCTCATTACTTAAAAATGTGTGCACATTTCCATGGAGGCCTTTTGTGAGTTTTGTTTGTGTAGTTAAAAGTGGTCAGTAGCACTACCATCATTTGGAAGATGTTTTCATAAAAGAATTTGCATGAGTGAATGTTCAGCCAGATCATTTGTCAGCACAGGAATGGGTTCTGGTGAGACAAGTTATCATTAATCGAGATATCTTTGAACAAAATCACGGAAGATGGAAATCCTGGTTGTCTTGTCACCTGAATAAAAACCTCCTCTCCTTCAGGAGATGTGATGCTGCTGGTGTAGCGCCAAATCAAATTTGCTGTGGGGACACAACAGTGTTGGTGCTTTTAATCCCCTTGCTCGTTCCTGTAGCACACACAGCTTTCACCTCCCAGTGAGATGTGCTGCTGTCAAAAGAGTGTATGGCCAGGAAAAGTTTTGGCATTAAAATGTCAAATCACAAATGTTTAAACATAGTCTTGCTATTTCATGATGCAACATGCACAAAGTTAGCACAAGTTTCTACAGCAAAAGGACTAGTAAATAGTAAAAGCTGTTGCATTACTAAAGTAACTGGGGTTTGATCAGATATAACTTTAAAAGAAGTGCTTGCTTCTAGCCCATTCAAAAATTAACATTTTTTGGTATTAGATCCTACCAAATAGCCCATGTATTAGAGAAGTAATATTGCAATCTTGATCCACTTTGAAAGTTAGTTTGAAGTTGCCTTATCCTGTGCAGACATCTATGTATGCAGAAAGATGCTTTATAAAAGAGTAAAATTTTAAGTACAATATAAAAAACAATAAGACATGCTGAGTGTCTTGTGCCTCCTGAGCATTGTCAGACATTTCTGGAAGCGTAAGCCATCCCTCAGTGGCCAGGCTTGGTAGGTAGTTTGTACAGTGACTTATATTTTGTGGTGACCACTAGTACTATTTGGAGTTTCAGTAAAAGCTGTGTGAAGTCTGAGGTACCAGTCGAAACTGGTGGGGACTGAAAGCTTTATAGCCTACCAGATCCAGAGATATAAATGGGGTTATTTGAAACTAAAGTAGTTAAGATAATTTTAAATCAACTTTATAGAGTTTACCTGATGAACCTTCAGACTCATTTTGGCCTACTTGGCCATCATACTTATCCCTTAAACATTTTTGTTTTGCCTTCTTGTTTTGACTATACTTTGTTTATTCCTCTCCCCATCTAAAACCCCAGTTAGTACTTGAGGAAAACAATCAGTGCAAACCACTGCACATACAGTTAATTGAATATTTACAGTTCTGCCTGATTGGAAAATATGTCTCTGTGTCTTGTGAGTATCACTGCACTGAAATTTTCTTTTCCTCTTCTGCACCTACAGGCTGCTTTGCAGTTTCTAGAGGGCTATGGAAAAGAAGATATAACTCTAGCCGATCTAGAGGGAAATTCAAACTCTTTATGGACCATCAGCCCTCCCAGTAGAGAGAAAATGATACAAGGACTGCTGGATTTTTCAGCTGAGTTCACTGTTGTTCTTTCCTGGAGCATTCAAAGGTAATTTGATCAGCAGGTTGAGGGAGGTGATTCTCTCCCTCTACTCTGCTCCTGTGAGACCCTACCTGGAGTACAGCATTCAGCTCTGGGGCCCCCAACATGAGAAGAACTTGGACCTGTTGGAGTATGTCCACAGGAGGGCCATGAAGATGATCAGAGAGCTGGAGCACCTCTCCTATAAACCCAGGTTGAGAGTTGGGGTTGTTCAGCCTGGAGAAGAGAAAGCTGTGGGAAGACCTTATAACAGCCTTCTAGTGCTTAAAGGGAACCTGCCGGAAAGATGGGGAGGGACTCTTTATCACGGAGTGTAGTGATAGGACAAGTAGTAACAGTTTTAAACTGAAAGAGGATAGATTTAGGTTAGATATTAGGAAGAAATTCTTTACTGTGAGGGTGGTGAGACACTGGCACAGGTTGTCCAGGGAAGTTGTGGATGCCCCCTCCCTGGAAGTGTTCAAGGCCAGGTTGGACAGGGCTTTGAGCAACCTGGTCTGGTGGGAGGTGTCCCTGCCTATGGCAGGGGCGTTGGACCAGATTTCCTTTAAGGTCTTTCCAGCCCAAACCATTCTATGACTATGAATCTGTGAATTAATACGACTTTTATGAGGTTGGTGGATCATTTGCCAAGCATTCATTCAGCAGAACAGTTCCATGCTGCATTTTTTGTTTTATTTTTCAGAAAATTCTATTGTTGCCGAGCAAAAAATGCTGAAAGTGTGGAGAGAGAGAGGCAGAGAGAAGTGAGCTTTGTTACACAGGAAAACATGTGTTGCCTACAATGCTCAAGAAATAAAAAGAGAAGTGGAGCCACTTCTAAGTACATTATTTAAAAAGGCAGGGTGGAGTTTTCACTGGGACTTGAGGGGAAGGAGGGAAAAGCAAGAAAATTTTTGCCAGTTTGAGACGGAGATGTTAAAATAAACTGCCCCAAACAACAACCTTGTTAGCACTTACAGGACCTGAATACTTAGACCTAGTTAAGGCAGAAGTGCTTGGTCCTCTTATTAAGGGTGTCTCAAACTGACACAAAACTGTTTTTTTAAATACAGATATACTGGGGGAGTTTGTTATACAAGTAGCATAACAATGGCACAGATCTGTTTTGTCAAGATCTTTGCCTGTTCACTTGTGGTTCCTTTGGCCTGAGTGAACTATCACTTTACAGGGAAGTCTTTGCAAGAGAGAGCCTAGAATATAAAGTAGCTGCATGCAGGCTAGAGCACACAGTCACCAGGGTGCTTTGTTGGCTACTGCCTGTAAACTGCTGAATTAAATTGGAGTTAAGTCATCACTCCATGGAAATTAAGTACCTTTGCAGGCCCAGTAGCTACCTGTTTTGTTGGAAGTAGATGCTGGATTGTCATAGCAATCCTCAGCAAGAGACTGTGCACAAGGAGGTCAGTTGAATCACTGTAGGAACTCTGACCATGCTGGGTCAGTCCTTCTGCAGTCAAAAATAGGCTTGTAATGAATCTGCACCCTTAATTCAACTTTGTTTGACCCTCCTCCCCTTATTTTCCTGGAAGCATACATTATTAACTAGTGAATTACATCACTCCATCATTTCTGAACCTTATATTAGTTTTTAATACTGGTACTCAATTTACCCATATGCTTGCATTATTACAAACATTCATACACTAGTTGAAACAGACCTTCCTTTTTCACCCTCAAATTATATCCTGTGGATTACATTATGACAGTGAATGACTGAAAGTGGTGAACTTACCACAGTGACCTTCCACTTTTTCTCCGTAAAGGGAAACTGCTGTCTTTCATCTAGGGCAGGAGACCGCAAGAAGCTGTAAGACAAGCCTTCTGTGTCACTCAGGCAGCACACAAACCTTCTGCCTTTGCACATCCTCTGCAGGGGGTGTTTTTCAGCAGCTCCCAGCAGCCCAGGAGCTGCCTGACCCAGCTGCTCCATCCCAACACAAGACACTGTGCGAAAGCTGATCCTGCCCCAGCTGTGTTCCACAGCTGGCACGAAGACTTGAGGGGGAGACATGGGGATCCTATCAGGCTGTCAGCCACATGTTGCTGCTGGGCTGAGGTGGGATTTTGGGAAGCTGTAGCTGGCTGAAGTATCCTTCACTGTCCTGGCACAGGATGTGTGGTAACACAGAAGGTCCCATTGCCTAAAGTCAGAGCAAGCGTGCTCCCTTTTCCATTCTGTTTTGACTGACGTAATGGGAAAAATTGTATTAATCCATAATCATTGTCCCATAGTACATACAAAATCATAGTCATTTATAAAAAAACCACTGTTAAGGCTGCTACATATCCTCCATAGGAGAAAATACCATCTCAGGTACAGGTAACACGATGCTTGCTTTAGCAAAGTCTGGGAAAGCCAGGATCAGTGCAGTTAGATGTGTTAGACAACTACCTCTAGAGTTCAGCAAACGAGTGTTTAGGTTATGCTCTCACTGTAGGCTGACAATTCAAGTGTCTTTCCTTTTACTTACAACAGAAATCTTTCCCTTGGTGCCAAAGCCGAAATAGCATCAGATAAACTCACCTTTGTGCTACCAGTGAACACCAGAAAAGAGATTGCTACAATGATGTCTGGACAGCAGCTGAAAAAGGTGTAAGTTATTTTCTTTGACTATTTATATGCAAACCATCCATTTTTAAACCTAATTTCCTAAGGGGGCCAGACTGGTGCAGCTATATCATTTGTCTGCCTATGCTTCCCCCTCTAATAACTTTGTAGCCTTGTTCACAGGGGCCAACAGTATTGAAGTCACATAATAGTAAAGTTAAAGGTAAAAGCTTATTTCCTGTGATAAATATAGGCCGAGAAGACCACGCATACTGAAACACCACCAACCATGATGAAGCTATTAGTTACTTTTCTTTGATTTATTGGATAAGCACAAGTTCATTACACTATATACACAGCTAAACTATCCTTTGAGTTACTTCAGTTCGACTTCATTTGAAGAGGTTGTATTGATGATTTTTTTGATCGAAATAACTGTCCAGACTGTATTTCTCATTGTTATTCTTGAATAATATTAGATTGGCAAGGAAGTGTTAAATCAACTGTGGTCAAAGGACAACATCTGCAGTCGTTTCTAACATCAGATCTTTTCCTGTAATTGAAATTTGCAAGGCAGGAGCATGCTCTTCATATGAATATCAAACATTATTCTATGAGTATAGCTTTATGGTATTAACAGCAGTGGTGCCTCCTTTCAGATTTGAAAGGAGTCTGGCTCTTCCTCTTCTGCCTGCTCATGGGGATTACTTTACAGCAGTAGTCTCTAAATACTGGTAAGCCAACACATCATCCCTGAAGGCCACCTGTTCTGATATGTGGCCATAAGAGTTGAAAAGTTAAAGCTGAGGCCAACTGGGATAGTGCAGACTCTGAGAGGTTCATATCTGTTAGTAGGTGGAAATGACATTTGTCTTTTCTGCGCATGGCTATTTTTCTGCACCCATGCACATTTGTACCTCCAAACAAACTGCTGTTACACATCTGATAATTGCATTTTAAAAATATTTTACACTTCTTTTACTTTTCTGCTGTGTGAGGATACAGGAATATACCTTAAGGTAATGTAGTGCCAAGGGAGGTAGATTTTGCTCTTTTGTGGGATGAGGTAATTCATTTGTAATTCTCTCTTTGCAGGAGAAAAACAGTAACATAGAATATATGCCTGCATTTGCCTATGTTGCTATAATATTGTTGATTTCAGCTTTTTTTTTTTTCCCTTTGTCCAAGAGAAAAAACAGTTGTGGCAGCTAGTAGCCATTTGACTACTTTAGAACAGAGGGTTTGGCCACTACCTCTGCTGGGACAACTTAGCTGCTGAGCTCTTACCTCTCTTTTGGGCCTGCTGCAGTGATCAGAAAGGATTTTAAATTGGCCACATCTGTTCTTCCTCAGCCTGGTGCATGCAGTGTGGCAAAGCATCATGGGACTTTCCCAACAGCTCCCCTTCCACAGAATCACAGAATCACAGAATCACAGAATCACAGAATCACAGAACGTTAGGGATTGGAAGGGACCTCAAAAGATCATCTAGTCCAATCCCCCTACCAGAGCAGGAACACCTGGATGAGGTTACACAGGAAGGCGTCCAGGCGGGTTTTGAATGTCTCCAGAGAAGGAGACTCCACAACCTCATTTGAGGAAAAAGTTAGGGCAGTATCTCTGCTTTTAATGAAATCTCTCTCTCTGGACGCTGGTAATTTATTCCCACTTAAGGTGATTTAATTTTGAGTCAGATGGAAGAACTTCTAGAATCATCTTTCTTTTTAAGTTTGAAGTCCTCCTACAAACTGTGAAAATATTTCCCAGTGAAAGATTCTGGCAAAGATATCTCCTTTCGAGTGTTATTATTGAAACGTCTTGCAATTCTGAAGTAATAACTGTTCTCACCACATATTTTTCTAGCTACATATTTTTCTAGCTTGTTTACTACTGGTGATGCGTTTCCTTTCATTGTGCAGCTTATATGGCAGACTATAAAAGCAGCTTTGTTAAAAACGGGAACAAAATACAAAGTCTGCATTCCTTGCAAACACACATGCCCCAGGTGTGTGGGATTCATGGCGTGTGAATGGCGACATTATGGATGGAGGTCCCTGACAGAACATAGTTAATAAATCCTGCTAACTTTCAGATGTGACATCTGAACACTGTAAAATCATAGCCTAAGCCAAGAATTACTGGGAACTGTGTATAGCCCTGTTAGGTATTTTTAAATTATTTTAGAGGTATAAAAATATGAAATATTTGCTTTCTCATTTTTTCCAGAACATTAGAGACAGTGTACCCCTACTACATCAAGGCTCCTAGTGATTCTCTGGCAAAACCCATAAAGCAGCTATTGACAGGTATGTGTCAGACCATGGAAAACAGAGTATGGTTGAAAGAAGTACAACACAGCACTCACACTTGCATGTTCACTGAGCTGTTATGGGGCACGTCAGGGCTGAATTGCCCTTAAAATGGTTTCTGCCTTGTGCCTGCAAGCCTGGGGAGAGATGAGGTAATACAGTATAAGGCAGAAAATGCATCTGGATGTACTTCAGCTTTGTATTTAACAGTAAGGACTCATAAGGATGAAGTCCGGCTCATTTCCTTCAAGTCTGCTTTCAGGAACTGCTTTCCCTTGTTTTCTGGGGAAGCAATGACATGTTTCACTTCCCTGCATCTCCCTGCTACCTTATCACAAACAGTAGTGCTGCACATCTGCAAATGTAGCTCCTCAGCTTAAATAATGACACTGAATGATTATAATTTTTTTTAGCTATTCCTTCCTTATTGTCTACAAAGAATTCAGTTTAGATAAATCATTGAATTTCAGAGTGCTATTACCGAATCAGAATGCATACAGGTACTCACAGACTTACAGAATACATGCACGCATGTGCATGTACATGTGTGTGAAAAACCTGTTGGGTTGGATGAATAGGATCAAGTCTCTATCTTAACCGAGGTTAAATTTGGCATTTGGACATAGTAGTAGTACTCTGTAGTACATTACTATACTGTGTAGTACATTACTGTTCAAGGTTCAGTGAGCATGATTGGATTAATTGAGAAAAGTAATTATTGAGACTGAAACTAGTTTTATGAGTAGCAATAAGTTATGGGTGCTTCACTGTCTTTAGTCAAGTCTTGTCCTAAAGAACCTTAATTTGGGATTCTTCAAAAGAGCTTTAATGTATACACTGCAAATGTACATTCCCCAGAAATCAGGAGGGCCAGAGTTCACCTCCTGTCTGTGTGATCAGAATGCATAATAGGATGATATGCTTTTCTTTATATAAGAGCATAACATCTTTTATACTAAGACATAAATTATTTATGGTGATAGTTTCACTTTGACATAGAGAAGCTGGCCACCGTCTCTCCTTGTTAAATGTGTTTCTTTAGGCCTGAAATGCAGCCATGCTGACTATCATTGAAACTTTGGCCTGAAAATATTTAAATGTTTTGACAGTTGTACAGAAGTAAAAGTAGGTGATACAAAACATTTTATTTATTTAATGAACATTCAGATAAGATTTGCAGGAGGAAAACCATAGCAGTCTAGATATTGTCCTTCTGTACAGAAATACTGTAAAATGGGATTTAGAACTGTAACAAACCCTTACTCCTACATTGCTCAGTCATTTTATCATGCAGATGTTTGAAGTATCTGACTCAAAACAGTTTGACGTTTGCAATTCTTGGTATATATACATTAACCTTTCCTTTTTTCAATAGATTGCAGATGGGAAAACATTACGGTTTCCCTGGTCAAAAATGTGTCCGAGGAGGGAGTTCGTGAGTGGTGGGTTTTGAATCAGCTTGGAAAAAGATACAAAACATCTGAAGAGAGTCTTGAACTCTTCATATTCAGTGATAAAGTTAGTCCACCAAGCCTTGGATTCTTGGCTGGTTATGGGTAAGAAGGAATTTTTACATAAAATTAAAATAGTCTAGATAAGATAGAAGTAGAAGTGCCTTTATTTGCTGGGTTTTGGGGTGTTATCTCCTTTTTTTGTGGTTGTAATGTTTGACCCTCCAGAAAAGGGATTTTGTGAGAATTTCAAATCCATGCAATTTACTGTTGTCTATAGAAAGTGTAATATTTGTAAGGAATGGTATTACCCTTGATACCTGCTTTCCAGTGGGAAAGAAGGCAGAAGCACCCTTCATACCAATTTTGTATTGAAGTAAAATCATTCACAGAATATTAGGAGTTGGAAGGG